CAAGTAATAAAATATCGTATGTGCTACTATAAGGTTTAAAAAAATATATTTTAAAGACTAGGCTTCAAAAAAATAATTATTTCATAATATATTTTTTATAACAAAAAATAGGATTTTTTTTTAATATAATATAACATATCCAAAACAAATGAGATTAATTTTAATTTAAATTTATTTAATAAATATAAATTTAATTATAATATTTCGGATAAGAGACCTGTGTAGGTGTCTTTCATCTGTATGACTGGTCACCCAGTCTAACTTATTATCTATGAGATTATTTTGCCTGAATATTATACCAAATACTTATCATTATTTTATGTACCATACATTTAATTATTTATATAATTAAATAATTTATTAGCACCTTGTCTAACTAAACGCGCATTCTACTTTTTTTTTCTAGAACTAACTTAAAATTTTAATATTTTTTTCTTTTAGCTATATTCACAGAAGAAGAAAAAGAAATATTAATGCTTTATATTATTCTTTATGTTAAAAGATAATTTAAACAATAAGAAATTGTAAAATAATGCAAATTTTAATACCTACCTTAATCTCATACGAACATTAATACTGCATTCACAGTAAGCACGAATTAACGGTGAAGTATACAATAATATAAAATATATTATATTTTGTATACTTGGTGGTTTTCTTATCCTAAATTTGAACGTAGTGTAATACGTCACCTACCTATTTATTTAGTGAAAATAAAATAGGATTCACTTGTTTCCTAATATATATTAAAGAAATCACCTACTTGCGTCTGATCTACTTTTTATATATATATTAAACTATTCTAATTTATAATTAATAAGTTATAAATTAAGAAAATTATAAATTAAGAAATAACAAATTCGAGGATGGATATCATTTATTAAATTTCTGAAACGCTCTTAAAAGTATTTTAATTCTTAATACTTTATTTATTTAAAAATACAAAATTTGTAATTTTTAATTCATAAGTTAACTATAGATGGGTTATAATTTTGTGTATACCTGAAATATCTTAATTTACTTTATTATAAATATTTATATTTAAATATTTACGAATAATTATATAATTTTTTATATAGAATATGGAAGATTTGGTAGATATTAATAAATCTTATTTTTTAATTTTAAAATGTTACATCGTTGTCTTAATACATTTTTTGAAGATTATATATATATGGTGAATTCCATATTAAATCAACAAAAAAATCGATTTTCAACCTGACCCCCTTTAATTTTTCTTAAATTTTGTATACTGGTAGTATATATATATACTATAACTAAGAAAAAAAATAAAATTTTACTTTTCAACACTGTTTACCCGCTAAGATATGGCCGTTTAAAGCGCGGAAAAATGGTACATTTTTGACAAAATGCTCCTCATTTATTTTCAAATATCTCGAGAAATAATTATGTTAGAAAATTTATTTAAATTTTATTTTGTAGCTTAATAAAGGTTCTTTAAAATGACATAAAAATAAATATAATGGACATTTTATTAATATCGAAAACCGGATGTGTAAAACCGGAAATGACCATAGAAAAAAAATGTATTTTTTTTCAAAATTTTTTTTCTATAGATAGATATCACATTGCTTTATATTTGTACATAATCCTAGATTGGGATCAACATGGGTTTCGGAGTTATTACTCTATATAGCTAAAATTGAACAAATTTAACATTAATATCATCATATTTTAATTTAATAATATGAAATAATGTTAATTTAAAAATTGTGTCTAAATGACAGGCCCTTACTTTTTTTTATCTTTATAAAAAAAATTTGAGACGTGGCTGGGATAGTGAGCTGTTCAAAACTTTAGTAAAATTTTATCTCGAAATTAAAATTACTTGATAAAATAATTTTAAATATTTTTTTTAGCATATAATAATCTACCAAAATTGAAATTCAACAATAAATTTTTCCCCATATATTCAAAATTAAAAGAAAGGCTTAATATATTATTTGACGAGAATTCTAAGATTATAAAACATTCAAACAATGGATAGCAGTTGATCGAACTACCCTCAAATCACTGACAAAATCCGCTGATGAATTTGTAGATTATTTAATTGAATAATTAGACAATTTAATTCCTCATTTATTATAGCTTCACGATAATCTTTAATTTGAAACTTTTTAAAATTCAATTTAAATGTTGTATTTATTGCAGACTTTTCAGAAAACTATGCATTTGTAGTGCAGAACCATGCACAAGTATTTAATTAGACCAATAATCAAGCCACTATCAACTCTTTTATAATTTATTACCGTGAGAACAATATAATAAAACATGTAAATTTAGTGGTTATATCAGATTGTTTAAAGCACAACGCATGTGCATTTTATTTATTTTAAAAATAGATCGTATTCTTGGAGGAAAGATTTAATAGAGTGGCTAAATTTTTTTTTCTGATGGAGCAATAACCAATATAAAAATAATAGATTTAATTAATCTCTTAAATTATGAAAATGATTTTGGGATAAAGGCTAAGTGACATTTTTTGAAACCGCACAAGGTAAAAGTCCATGCGACATTTTGGGGGCCGTTACAAAAGGTTAGCAGCTCGAGCAAGCTTGCAACGTCCATATGAACATCACATATTCAACATTAGATTTATTTAACTATGCAAGAAATAATATCTATGGGGTAAATTATATATTTGTGAGCAATAACGAATATATGAACATAGAAAGTCATCTTGAAAGCAGATTTTTGAGAGCAAAGAGAATTCTATAACACAAAGTTCCTAGCTTTTATTCCCCTAGACGAAAACAAAAGTCATAATTTATTAAAATTCCTTGGATGATTATAATATATGATATATTTTAATAATAAATTTTTGATTGTATTATATGTAATGCAATTTAGCAAATAAAGTTATAGTTTAGAATTATTTTGTCAAGTAACTTTGAGACAAAATTTAACTAAAGTGTTAAGCAAAGCTCATTATTCCAGCCACTTCTTAAAAATTATGATAAAGATAAAAAAAGTAAGGGCCTATCATTTACACATAATTTTTAAATTAACATTATTTCATAACTATTCATTAAATTAAAATATGATGATATTAATGTTAAATTTGTTCAATTTTAGCCATATAAAGAGTATTAACTCCTAAACCCATGTTGATCCCAGTCTAGGATTTTGTACAAATATAAAGCAGTGTGATATCTATCTACAGAAAAAAAATTTTGAAAAAAAAAATACCTTAAGGCCATTTCCGGTTTTACACATCCAGTTTTCGATAATAATCAAATGTCTATCATATTTATTTTTATGTCATTTTAAAGAACTTTTATTAAGCTACAAAATAAAATTTAAATTATTTTTCTAACAATTATTTCTCAAGATATTTGAAAATAAATGAGGTGCATTTTGTAAAAAATGAACCATTTTTCCGCGCTTTAAAAAGCATCTTAGCGGATAACCAGTGTTGGAAGGTAAAATTTCATTTTTATCTTAGGTATAGTATATACTACCAGTATACAAAATTTAAGAAAATTGAAGGGGGTAAGGTTTAAACCTTAGTTGATTTGATATGGAATTCACCATATATATTTTTATATTTACTAAAAAACTGTTCACCAGGGGTTTGAACCAAACTCTGAACTCTGGTTGGAGTTTGATATTTTCTAAATTTAACCCGAACTGATTTAACTATGCGTGACCTAAACTCTAATTTAAATTTGACAACGATATGTTGGAAGATATTTTGATTGAATAAGATTTTTAATAATGATATGTAATATATAAATAGAATTTAGGATCAGTCTTTAATTTTTTTCGTTATGTTGCATATACAATTTTCCTTATGTCGTTAATAAAATACATCGTTTTTTGTAAATATATTGATATTAGATGATTAGCTGTGATTTATTTCCGATCATAAAATTTATATCTTTACATCGTCTATGACACCAATGTTTGTTATAATTCTGATTTTGAATAATTTGGGTCATTAATACATTTTATATTCTGAATTTATAAAATTGATATTAATGACTGATGTGAGTTGGTGATGGGTATGTTTTTCCAGTTTGCATTTCCAGACGTGAGTTGCTTATGGTTATTATAGTCCCATTTCAATTATAAAATAATGGTAATAATTTAGGGAATTATCTATAGAACATTTAACTTGGATAATATGATACTGGAGGCCGGAAATTTAAATAAATATGTACTTTAATCCTATTCTTCGGCCCATCTTTAAAATGGGATTTATTTAAAATCAAAATTCACTTTAAAAATTTAAAAGGCATAATATGCAAAAAAATTAACAATGTCAAAGTTAGGTTTGGACGAAATTAGGGTAAAATTTTGGTTGGTTACTTCAATTATAAAAATAAACTTTGGAATTTTTCTTAACTATTAGGAATTGCTTTTTATAATTAGCTAGTTTTTTTATTGTTTATAAGCCCTTTTCGGCTTTTAATTCTTATATATAGTTATATAGGATCAAACTATAATTTCCTAACTTTTATCCCTTATTTCATTGATTAACTGTGTTCTCAAGCTCACAGTCTCATCTGCTACTTCAATTTATATTTCTGCATTATTTCCAACAATCTATTTTTTCTCTGGTCTAATTCTGCTTTGAAACTTGAAATCTTAAATATGCACTATTTCTTCTCAAATTTTTTCATTGGGACCATTATGTCATATTTTATTTTCATCAATATTATGGAAGGTCTAACTAATTTGCTTTATGAAAGATAGAATTAATATGTTTAAGTTTTTTTATTAATCCTCTGCCTCACTGGCAAATATTAAAAAATAAACTTTATTAACTAATGCTACACTTAGTTGCTCTAAATCCAAAAATATCTGAGATTAATTGTAAATTTTTTTTTTAGTATATAAAATCTTTTATCAAGTGAATATTTTGCGATCCTCTCTTATAATATAATAGGCAATTTTTTTTTAAATATAAGTATAAAATAACATATTCTTAAAAAACTGCTAAATATACTGTTAATTTATTATATGATAAAATATTTTTAGAATGGGAATTCTATGAATTTGGTAAATTTATTTATAAAATAAATTAATCTCAAATTTAATTGAATATTTATAACTATTGACAAAATAGCAAGGACAATGAATAGAGGTATAATATAATGACATTTGATGAAATTAATAAAAGGATTAGGTTAAGAATTTTCTATTACAATTATAGATGCCTTAATTTATTATGTATATCTCTTATGATATTTGAGATATAGTTAAAATTAATCAGATTGTTTAGGTGGTATAAAAATAAATGTAAGTTTTAACAAGTAAATATAATTTTTAATGCAGATAAATTATATATTTTATATTTAAAAAATCGTTCTTAACAAAATGTATCATGTGATTATGGATTTATTTATAGCCACCGTTATGGAAACTCTAAATTTTATTTAAACCAATTAAAAACACATGCCTCTAAACAAAACTAAAAAACTGTCCTATTTTCGGGATAATTAGATATAATTGTAGTTTATAAATATATATATTTTATATTATAACACGGCACTTATAATCACGTGATATTTTTTTTTAATATTTTAGTTATATAACATAGAAAAAGGATATGATAATTATTAATGAATTAATTCTAAGAATATAAAAATTACGGAAATAATAAAGATTCGTGTATTTAGTTCTTTAGTGTGTCAGATATATTTTCTTTTGTTGTTCTGATTTTGTAATTTAGTATAATTTTTGACAGTTTGTTTTAGGTAGTTTTTTTAGTTTATTTTAGGTTGGTTTTTAGGTGAGTTAGGTATTTTTTTAAAAACAAAGTTTTTTCTTGATAGCATGATAATAATCTGAATACACCCGTTGCTAAAATAACTTTTTGACCAATCATAATCTAACATTCCACCTTCTGTAGAATATCTAGCTAAAACCTTTGATAACATACTTAGATCCAATTTTAAAGATTCTGCCATTACATATGAGCTTCTTTATAATTTGTAATGCCTATATGTTTACTTTTTTGCGCATTCTAATTTTTTGTAAAAAGAAATTGAGTTTCTGGAATATTTATTAAACCTTTTTGAAAGAATTTATAATCTCAATACCCTTGTAAATTATTTCATAAAGATTACAAACATTGTTTGAATAACTTTGTTTTTACCACATTTTGCATTTTCATAAATGTTATTTATCTATATGAAATATTCTTAATTTCTGGAGAAAATAATTTTTAATTTAATAAATTCTAATCTTGGCAGAAAAACAAAAATAAAATGTTAAAATAAAAGAAATATAAGGAATAATGGATAAAATAAAACCTCTTTGTGACTTTACTCTTCTATATTTTTTGTATATGGTGACCAAAGAAATAACATAAAATTAATGTAGCGCTAATCATTATGAATATCTTTAAATGTCTCTAATTAACTTATAGTTGAAGTGCTTATTGAGTTTTATATCTTTTCTTGTTGAATAAATAGCTTTAGAGAAAATTATATTTTTCTCATAACCAAAATTTGAAAGAAATTGTAGACACGCATATAAAAAGATTAATTATCTCATTTTTCAAAATCGAAATTGTGGAGGTTAAATATCCATTGCCTAGGATTGAGGAGATTTTGGCTCAGTTGAAGGGTGCGAAATATTTTTCCAAGGTGGATTTTTCGTCGGCGTATTTGCAGTTACCTTTGAGAAAGGAAATCCGTAAATTATTGACGATAACGACTCCAAAGGGGTTGTTCGCGTTTTGTAGATTACCATTTGGGTTGAGCGTATCTACTCCCATTTTTCAACGGACCATTGCGTCAGTTTTTCAAGGATTGGAAGGAGTATTTTATAATATGGATGATGTGTTAATTACTGGCGTGACGCCGGAGCAGCATAATCAACGTTTGGAGGAAGTGTTTAGGAGAATTCGTGACAAGGGCTTGAGAGCCAGTAAGGAGAAAAGTGTTCTGGGGGTAATGGAGGTTGAATATTTGGGTCATCGAATTAATGGAATTGAGGTGTAATCTTTGGATAAAAATTTGAGAAATATATCGAACATGAAACGGCCCGACAATAAGGCTGAGTTGCAGTCTTTTTTGGGTATGGTCAATTATTACCACAGGTGCATGGAAGATTTGGCAAAGGTTGCAGCGCCGTTACATGATTTATTGAAAAAAGAAATTCATTTTGAGTGGAAGGATGTACAGCAAATTGCTTTTGAAATTTTAAAGGAAAAAATTGGAAGGGAGCCGGTTTTGGTGTGTTTTGATAATGAATTGGAAATTGTTTTGGCGGTGGATGCTTCGAATAAAGGAGTTGGTGGGGCGTTATTACAGGTAATAAAGGGCTTGGAGAGACCCGTATTGTTTTTCTCGCGTGTTTTTCGTGAGGTGGAGACTAGGTATTCTGTGATTACAGGAGGCTCTGGCCGTGATTTACGGTATGACAAAATGCCGTGAGTATTTGATTGGTAAAAGATTTGTAATTTTTACTGATCACAAACCGTTAATTCACTTATTCCGAAAGAACAATCGGGAGTTAATGATGCCCCCCCCTGGTTACAATGTTAGTTGTTGTTGGTGGGCAGCTTTAATGTGGAGATCCGATATCGTCGTGGTAAAGAGAATTATTTGCTTGATATTCTGTCCCGATTAGGATTAAATGAAGGAAATGATGAAGCGAATAAGGATAAGGTTCGAGACAATGAGAAAGCATTGGTGTGTTCGCTTTCACATATGCTACGGGGAGGTCCTACCAACTGGGAAGAACTTAAAGTCAGTACTTTAGAAGATAAAGAGCTGAGTCAAATAAAATATAAAATTATATTTAACGGGGAAGAAATCGTAGGAAAATAATGGTAAAAATTTTAAAAAATTGAAAGGGAATTGTCAATTGTTGATGATTGTGCAATGAGGGTAAATAGAGCCGTAATTCCTTATAGATTACGTGGCAAAATTTTGAATTTATTACATGCGGGACATCAAGGTCGGGAGAGGAAGAAATCTTGGGCGAGGGAGTATGTTTGGTGGCCAGGTATGGGCAATGATATTGAAAGAATTACAAGGAAATGCGTTCCTTGTAATACGTGTGCAGCTATGCAGCATAAGGAGGTAGGTCAGGTTTGGCCCCGGGCAAAGAAACCTTGGGAGCGTCTTCACATAGATTTCTTTGATCTGGATAAAAGGGCTTATTTTTTATTGGTTGATTCGTATTCAAAATGGGTGGAATACACCGAGGTTAAGGGTATACCATCAGAATGGTGATTAGAAAATTACGGGAATTGTATGCCTGATTCGGTTTGCCAGATACCAATGTTTCTGACGGAGGACCAGCATTCGTGAGCGATGAATTCAAACAGTTTTGTGTGGAGACCCAGACTCGACATATTTTGACGCCGTCTTATCATCCCAGCTCGAATGGGCAAGCTGAGAGAATGGTAGCCGTCGTTAAGAATTGGTTAAGGAAAGCAGTAAATTATAAGAATGGAGCGTACTTAGCTCAGTTATATTATCTTAACTCACGAAATCGGAAGGGAATGAGTCCTACGGAATTATTCCTGGGTCAGAGGACTAGGTTGCCGTTGGATTTTTTAAAGATAAAGGACAAAGGGAAGGTAGTTCTGGAAAGCCAGAAATTTAAATTCGGTGTTGGGGAAAAGGTATGGACTCGCTTGTTTGATGGGAGGGGAAAAAATGGGTCAAGTGCATTGTTAGCGAGAATAAAGGCTCGAAGTTGAGTGTGGTTTAGTTGAAAATGGTCGGCACGGTGATGCGCCATAATGATCATGTCCGACTTAGAGGTTAGAGGATAGTTGAAGGGAGGGTAAAATAGAATTTAGATAGGTATAAAAAAAAATGATGAAAATGTACAATTAGTGTTTTCAAGTAGGGTCTTGTTATTTCCCTTAGTTTAATTGTTTTGGTTTCAACCAGAAGGTTTAGGCTCATCTTAGAGCAGTGATACATATATATATTTATGCAAAGATATAGCATGAAAGGGAAATGAAATGTACGTGAACTGTTGGTAACCTTTTTGTTTTGGTTTATTTATTATTAGTTTAAATTATTTCATGTTTGTAATGAGAAAAGTTGGTATTCATTGAGGTTACTTATTATTGGTTTAAATTATTTCATGTTTGTAATGGGAAAAGTTGGAGGTTACCAGTTGTTAGCCATAAATAAAGGATGGAAAAAAAGGGAATCATATATTGAGTTAGAGAAACTGATTTGATATTTTTATTACTTATTTGTGGTTGTTATTTTTAGTCAAATCCCCGAAACTAAACCAAAACTTTCTAAAAACGAACTGTCAAAAATTCTACTAAATCACTAAAATCAGAAAACAAAAGAAAATATATCAGACACACTAAAGAGCTAAAAATACACACGAATGATTTTCTTTATTGTTTTTGTAATTTTCATATTCAAAAATTACATAAAATAAAATAATTTTCAATAAAATCCGTAATTTTTATAAAAAAAAAATTAATAATAATCTCATAAAAATATATCATTATTACATCCAATTTTTTATATCCAATCAACCTTTATTTAATCGGTTGATTGGCATTTCACGTAAAAAATATAAATGTATTCGTATTTACAAATACGACATGCCACCCCTTTATGGGCTCGTGGCATATCGGCAGATATAAAACAAAAATAATCTTAAAAAAAAACTTACAATACTATTTCGAGAATATTTTTACACATAACTTTCTTAAACCGACATGGGGTTGACCCAAAAATCTTCAGTGCCCGCCATCTGCGGAACACCAGCAGTTAACGTAGTGGTCACCACTTTCTGCAATATATCCTCCCCACTCGGACCTCGGGATCCATTCAGGAGCTGACCTCGAACATCAAAATGGCGAATATTGAGAGAATGTCTCTCCATGTCCCTATCCAGCCCTGAGGGAATTGGGTCTATTGGCTGTCCCACCTCTAAATCGTGATGCAAGCTTTTTCGTCCTTCGTTGATTCCCACTCGTGGGTTTTCAGATAGTACTTCCAAGGGTACGCGAGTTCCCCGGGATGGCCGGGAACACTGATGCCGCAAGTGTCCCACCTCCTGGCAATTCAAACACCTTCACCCATCGATTTACTGTGACCCTGAAATCCGCACAAAGTCTCAATTTACCATTTGCCTTTTTAACAGGCACTAAAGTAGTTGCCCATTCACTATATCCCACAGGAATAATAATGCAGTACTTCACCCATTTATCTAATTCCTCATCGATCTCCTTCCTCCATTCGAAAGGAACTCGCCGACAGGCCAAAAAGATCGGTGAAAAGCCCTCCCTAAGTTGAACATCAACTTGATAATCATTCAAACAACCTAATTTTTCATCAAAAATGATGCCATACTGCCTCACTAAAACAGGAATAGCTTGATTAATTTTACTCCAATCCTCTTTTCCCCCGACCATAATTTGCTTCTCATTTATCTCATCATTAAAATCTGACTTACTCGGTTTCTCCAACATCTCCTCCGAAATTTCACAAATTTTATTACCGGTATTATCCAAATTTCCATTTTCTTCAACCTCAGTTAATCCATTATCACTAGTATTCCAATAATTATTAGGAGGACCAATCTTGGTAATCCAATCCAAACCCATAACAGTCTCAACATTTTTCTTTACTACCCATAAATCAAAACATAGTATCGTTAAGATTAACTCCCAATTTGGCCTTTCCCAACACAGCGACTTCCGACCCATCAAACTGCCTGACACACATAGCCTCTTTTTCCAGCTTACCCCCAGGCCAATACTTATAAAAATTCTTCTGCGACATTAGAGAAATACTAGCCCCGGTGTCAAATAGCATTTCTATATTCCTATGGTCAATTTTAAAACTAACCCTCGGACACAAACATGGTTCATCTAATCTTTCCGTCATTAAAATATCATATGTTTTAATCGGATAATCAGCGTTTATTTTATCTAAAATAATAATTTCATTGGCATTCGCATTGCCCCTTAAATTTAACTCAGAATTTAAATTCTTATTACCGACAATTACATTTCTTTTAACAAGATTTGTGGGACATCTTTCCCAAATAAAATTCCTAACATCCTTTCTAAGAGAATAACGGACAATATTTCTCGGATATTGTTCCCATCTAAATCGACCAACCTCCCTCTCAGGGAACTTACTAGAATGATTTATTATCTTTATTCTATCATTCCCATTATCTCGATTAATAATATTAAATGTTTTATTATAAAAATTTTTCCGAACTCTCGTAGGCCCACTCCTATATGATTCACCTTGCAATCATATAGTCAACACAAATTTTGAGATACCTCCATGGAGTCCACAGCCACATGTCCCGGCCTTTTACATTTAAAACATAATCTGACCCCATTTAAACTAACTATAGCATTTCCTACTTCAGATTTTTTTAACGGAAATCCATCTTTAAACCTATGCTCTGGGACCACGCAGGTATCCATTTTATGTCCTCTCCATCCGCAACGATGGCAAATGATCATTTCCACAAATCTTTTATTTCCCGACAATTCCTTATTTTCCTCGTAATCATTAGATTTCTTATTAATATTTCTATCACCCACCTGGTTCTTAACCGGATTTTTACTTTCCTTTATCAACGCATTGATGGCTTCTTTCATTTCTTTCATTTCCAGGAAGATTTTATCTGACCTCTCCCCAACATTTCCAGCCTTGATTTCCTCTAAAACATCTTTTAGATTTCTTTCCAAGTCTGCTATTTTCTTCCCATAAATATCCGATATTAAATTAAAATACGTTTATGCCATTTTCTTTTTATAAACCTCTGACATCGCAGTGTCCTTCTTCCAACTGCAATACATGCCTGCCAGTACCGCAGTAGTCCTTTTTATCAAATATTTCGCCATAATGACCAATATATAAATTATTACCAATATCCCCATTACCATGCCCTGCTTAATTAAATCCAATTCATCAAAATTTTTATACAAAACTTTAAGAACCAAATTCTTATATAATGCAATCTTAGTAGCCACACTATAATCATCATGATACCTAAAATAATGAAGTCATCTAATACTCAATTACAAAAACTTTAAATATTTGTAGAAAATATTAATACAGCACCTTAAATAAAAACTTCACTAGCAAAATCGTATAATGATTAGTACAAATGCGCAGTCAAAAAATTTAAAGAATTTATATAATTAAAAATTTTTTTGTTTTACCTACTAAACCGAATAACTCCTAGGAAACGATTAGCGTCACAAGCACCACTAAAAAAAACAACCAACTCAAACAAATCCCCGAAACTAAACCAAAACTTTCTAAAATCGAACTGTCAAAAATTATACTAAATCACTAAAATCAGAAAACAAAAGAAAATATATCAGACACACTAAAGAGCTAAAAAATACACATGAATGATTTTCTTTATTGTTTTTGTAATTTCATATTCAAAAATTACATAAAAAATAATAATTTTCAAAAAAATCCGTAATTTTTATAAAAAAAAATTAATAATATTCTCATAAAAATATATCATTATTACATCCAATTTTTTATATCCAATCAACCTTATTTTAATCGGTTGATTGGCATTTCGCGTAAAAAATATAAATGTATTCGTATTTACAAATACGACAGAAATTATAACCAATTAATTAATATTATGATGTATAGATCTTTATTGCCCAGCAGGTACATAACGATTATAAATTTTTATATAGATTTTATCATTTTTATTTATTAGATTTTTGCTGGAAATTATTAATTTTAATATCTTGTTCCTATAAAATTATTATAGTCTTCTAAATTCAATACTCGATTAATTTAAAAAAAGTTTTAAAATTTTATTATAAATTTTTGATATAATTAGAATATTTAAAAGCTAACCAAAAATAACGCTTTTATAAAATATTTCAAATATAATAATTTATTTTTAGTTATATCTAAAACTTGTAGAAGTAATTATTTATATTTTATATCTCATGATAATTAAAAATAATGATTTAAAAAATAAGAGTAATTTTCTATTGAACATATTTATAAACCGCATTATATTATGTCAGTTTTTGATGATAAAATTATTGTAAGATATACTGAGTAGTGTTTCCCTATTCATTTGCCCAAATAAAGTTAATAAGAAAAGTTTAAAATAAAAATTATTAGTATTTAACATATTTCTTTTAAAATAATAATTAAAATAATATTTAATGTATTGAAAATTTATTTTATTCTCATTATTATAAATACACCCAAGCGCATACACCGAGGAGGGGATAAAGGCAGATACTCTCCCCCCCCCCCCTTTTCCCCAAGCCAAAAATAAAAATGATGGCTAAAACATTTTTTTAAAATATTACTGTTTTATGCTTATTAATTTAAAATAATAATTTCTTCCTTTTATCGCATATATATTTCAATTTATATTTATTTATCACATAAACAGCAGAAATAAAATACAAATTATTCTATGTATTAATATAGATTTCAAATTTTTATTGACCTTATATTTATTTATCTATCATTTTAAAATTTTCCATAAACTTATTCACTATAAAGCTATAATATATATCAAAAATAATATTTAAGTTTTCACATTTATTTAAAAAATGGATATAGGGATCTTTTCATAGTCATCTCACAAAACAAAAATATATAAAAGATTACTCACTGTTAGTAATTAAGATTCCCCAGCTAATAAATCAATTAGTGGAAGAATCGTTTATATATAGATCAAAGTCAAAATATAAAGCTTTCAATGGAGTTAGAAACGCCTTTTTTTAAAAGAGTTTATTATAAATTCTCTTAATGAAATCAACCTAAAAAAATTAAGGAAAATTTTAATGATAGATCATAATTAAATATAATTGTTTAATCAAAAGTTGACTATATGATTTAATATTTGTCTGCCTTAACTTCCAGCTACAGGTCTATTATTTAAGTAAAGTTAGTTGAAATATACTATGAAATAAACTTAAATATTTAACTCAAAAAATAAAAGGTATTTGATTCAGGCAGTACAAATTTGCAAATATTATTACGGCTGAATCATACGGAATATATTCCAAGTCTTGATAGTTAATTAATTTTTTACAGATTTTTATTCTGAGGATGTTAAAATATAGATGACACTACTAGCTGAATGCAAATTATGGTGTAAATGGTTAACTATGGTTAATAATATTACAAAAACTGCTATATTTGATTTGCAAAATTTTAGACAAATTTTAGATTATAGCAATGATTGAAATAATAGCTCAATCCAAAAGAAATTGAATTTCAGATTATAAATTTGTAATATGCTATGCTTCTTAATAATATTTTTGGGCATTAATCTATATATAATTAATATGTATAACAAATTAAATGGTTAAAAAATTTGTAATTTTTTTTACAAATCTTATAATCGCATAATTTTACTATTGAATTAAATTATGCTCTAATTAATAAAAATAATTTAAATGAAAATATTTTGAAATATGGATGAACATAGTATTTTTTACATTGAGATTGATTGTATTTAAGTTATTTTATTTAAGATTTTGATATAAAAATTAATAAAATCTAAAAATAAAGTGGCTCTGAAAACCCACCACATAAAGTTTAAAATTTACCGTACCCTAAATGTTTTAAATTATTTTTAAATCTTTTATTAATAAAAAAAATTACTAGATTATTTTCTTATTCATCTATTTTTTTATAACCAATTTTTATTGGACAATATAACTCTGGTATCCCCTACTTTCAATGAAACTAACTGTCACTTAGTTTACAAAAACACAAACCAACCATCTTCATATTACCAGTGACCCTAAACACTTCTGGTTTTCTTATTAATATAGCTGGATTTTATTTTTTTTTAAATAAATCTCTATTTAAAAATTGCTAATATGTACCCCTTCAAAATCTACCCCATGTCTTCGCATTTAATTAAAAATTGTCTTCAGGATATTAAATTAACATAAATATTGACAAAAAAAAATTTCGACGACACATCTTTTCAGAAAAACATTTAAAAATAATTTTATTTATATGTGTAAAAAGTCTAAATTTGTGTCGTTGGAATTTTAATTTGTATTTAAAAATTTTCCTTCGTATATTTCTGTGAAACATTTTTTGGAATTATTTTATCATATTAATATACCTTTATGGTTTAACTTCAAAATATTTGTATAGTTTGTAATTTTTTATATAAAAGCCCTGGTATTACCATATCTCCGGTCTTCCTTTCTCTCTATTTCACTTAAATATTTTAAACTAAAAACAAATTTCTGGTTTATTATTATTTAAATAATAACGGACATTTATATATACGATAATATCCTATTTATAAAAGTTTATGTGCTTGGTTTAAAAATTAAAATGCCCTCAAAAATGTTTGAAATAAAAAACCTATATTATTTTGATATAAATATATAATAAAAAAATGATTACCTAAATACACTAAAATATTTTTTATTTTTGTTGAATACAGTAAATTAAATTGTTTTTAATGTTGAGCAAATTAAAACTTATTAAGGGGTTGGAGCGGGCTTTGGAATTTTTTTAATATTAAAAATATATTTAACTGCCGACCTGGGTCCTTTATTATCAAAATATCTAAGTTCTTGAAGGGTCTCTATGATGTAAGTAGTATTAAAATCTATAATATATATAAAAGCCGTGTCACAACAAATTTAGCCAATAGTATTGTTTTATTAAATATTCGTCCAATAAAAATCATAAATGTTAAGCCAATTTCAATTTTATCATGTGATTATATATTTATTTTTTAATATTTTAATGATGATTTTCATAAGATATCGCGCCAGAAGGAGAAACACCTGGTAATTTATGTTACATATGATTTTATTTTAATAAATATTTGACATTGTATACTCAAGGTCAGCCTCAGATTTTAATAAATTATAAATAAATGAAATTCTATCAAATTAAAAAATATAGCCTAGCCATTTTATCAGAGGATAATAATTTTGATTTTCACAGTTTCAATGTTTAAAATATCAAATATATTTTGAATATTATATAATTATATATTTTTTAATTAAGTAATTTTTATATATATTTGCATTTATATGATTACTAGCGACAAAGAATTAGAATATTCCCTTAATTTTAAGATGGATAAAATAAATTAAAAAACCATGCATTATGAATTATCACTTTTTGTAATTTTGCAACTTGGTAAATCAATGTAATTGTTATCATGGAAGCAGATTTTTGTATTTTTATTTAATACAACTCATTTGCCGTTAGCATCAGGGATGTGAACCCAGACCCTGAACGCTTGTCTGTACCCGAACCCGGACACTTTTTAAAAGAGGAGTGTCCAAGGGTTATAGGTGTCATAAAAAAAATTTAAAATAATATAAAATATTTTTAATTTTGTTAACTTTCGTGGAATCATTTATTTTATCTTTGCGTTTTTCTTACAATTTTCTTGCTGGACTTCCATTTTATTTAGAGGTTGATATCATAAATTATTTTCTAGTGTATGTGATAATATTTTAATATGTAAATTTATATTGATTATTAATGATTGCGTAAAAAAATCACTTTAAATCTATCATCAATAAAACAAGGGATGTTGTAAAATATTTATGAACCCCCACAATTGTAAGAATATTAAAATCAATGAAAAAGTCAATTTCAATATTAGATTGCAAAACATGTTTATTCTCAATTTGTATTATGCTAGAAGAATTATTAAGTTTGAAAGATTTCTGTAATGATTTTATTATACGAACATGTAAATTCATTTTTTCGGAAGATGATTGGTGCCAAATAAAGGATTTTACTTGTGTATTGGTTCCTTGAAAATAACAACATTAAGATTACAATCAGAACAATTATTTTTATCTTATTTTTATATCATATGGATTAGATGCCGAATAATTTAGAAAGAATTACCGATTCTTTTTCATAAGAAATATTATAAAACATAAAAATTCGAGAACAACAATATTTGCAAAATAGTGCTGTATACACCTCTATATATCTAGACCCTCGATATCAGTTTTTATCGAGTATTGAGCAAAAACAAATGGCTATACTATCTTAAAGTTTTATGGCATACGCTAAACTCCATTATTAACAATATATTGGAGGCTACATCGTAGTAATAATAATGATAAATAGCAACATTGATTATCTTAAACTTTTACTTTTAGATAGAGTAAAGAAAAATCATATTAGAATATGATAGAAAGTAGGATCAAAAAATGTCTATTGCATCTTTAATAGAAAATTTCTCAGAGTTAAGAGAATAAATAAGGATACAATTATTTAAAAATTGTGGGAAGAAAATTCTTCAATATATCCAGAATTATATATCTTGTCTAAAATCGTCATGGCTATACCGGCGACACAAGTACAATATTTTATGTATCATAAAGATAACTATCTACGTTCGGCTAGCGTAAAATGTGGATTTTTATCTTTGAAATATATGTGTTATCCAATTTACTTGAAAAACTCAAGGATGATATATTATGATTGTGCGATTGAATAAAATATTTTAAATATAAATTATTTCATTTTTAAACTTTTTATCTGTAAATTATTAATGTGTATATATTGAAGTATAATATTAAATGAATGAAAAAAGTCTTATTTTGATCTTTTTTTTATGTTCCCTGAGAACTGGGACCATAACCCTGAACCTAAATTTTAAATTTTTTTACTGTACCCGAATTAGGACCTGGACCATGTTTTTTGTTGAACGGTCCACATCCCTGGTTAGCATAGCTGATATTTACAATCTTGCTATTTATTATGATATTGACTATCGTATAGGATATTCCATGTTATGCATGTATTCAACTGAATACCTCTCATATCTTTTCTGATGATTTGGCCTTTCATTCCATAGTTTTGTATCTTTTCTCATCACTTCATAATTGTTGAAAGTATATTATTCATATAATTTTTGTTTTACTTATAAATAACTATGATTTAAGTTAACCTCCTATTATTTGTTAACTTAGAATATCTTTTTTATTTTTTCTATTGTAATTTAATAATAATTTCTTAAATTTTTTTATATTTTGTGCCTATTTAATAAATCATTTGTTATTTGGGGGAATGGGGGTTTGTTTAAAATTTAAATTAGGATGAATATATTTCACTGATTTTTATAAGACATGGTACTTTAATATGTATTCATCAATTTCATATAAATACCAGGAGCTAACCAGTAGAATGATGGGTAAATCAGATATTTCCCCTTCATTTGATGAAAAATTATTTTGAAAAATTTTTCCAATAATATAAAATGGCAAAAAATATATTAGACAGATTTAATTCTAAAACACCTTATATCGGACTTATTTTCTGTATCCAAGAAAAAAATTAATTATTATGTGTTTTACTGGGTTTGGGACATGATATAACTAATTATTTTTACGATGTTGCTGCAAATGAGATTTCTGAAACCTATAAAATCTGCTGCACTCTAACTTATAATCACAGATGAAACCTTGGATATATCTATAAAAGAGCCGCTTTGAATATGTTTTCATATACAAATGAGGATAAAAATAAAATATTCTTAGTATTTTATTAAGTATCGGAAACAAGAAAATTTAATAGTATCAATAAAAGATTTATTATTTGTTCGATATTCTCCCTAACAAATGCAGATATTTCGTTCTATTTAAGATGAAAATGATAATTCAATTTATAAGTCAAAATCTATTATATAAAATTAAGCTGACAAATTTTTATTTCTTAAAAATGATAATAATATTTGAGAGAGTATTAGTTTTAAATGCTGAAATCCAAAGTTCTTAATTATATTTTCAGAATGCTAAATATGAAATAGAAATCTAGAACAAAATTCTTGAGTGATTGTTTTGATAGGTTTTGAGGAGAATTTAAAGCTAAAAAAAATATATTTAGAGGAGCCTTATTTAAATGGACAGAAAAACGCCTTTAGGATTCGCAGAAGCCCGAATATATCATATCATTAATTCAGGTCAGTTAATAAATATTATAGACATATACATAACCTTCCTAAAAATTAAGTAAATTAAAAAATTATTATGTACGATTTATTAAAATGTTATTATTAATTCCCATGGATTCTTGTTTTGCAGAACGATTGTTATTAGGACTAACACATCAAATCTCACATTCTACCGTGAAAAAATAACGGTTAAATTATTTTTCGCAATACTAAATGTTAATAAAGAAAAAGCAAAAAAATTTAATTTAAAATCCATTATAAATTTTTATAAATAAAAATGAAAAACATGTTATAATCTTAAAAAATCTTAACATTTATGATATTATCTACCTCACAAAATAAAATGTATTATTTTATTAAGTCCTTTATATTATAAATACTTTTAAAGGGAATAAATAATAAGATTTTCTATACAAAATATAAATTATAAACTTTTTCTGATTTTTTTTAACAATTAATTAAAAATAAATTCAGTTATTTTTGGAGTTTTGAATTGTCGGGTACATATTTAATTCTAAAAAAAAGACTAATATAAAATTGTTCCTAGTTTTTCTTTTAAAAAATATATTCCTATTTTGGAACTAAATATAAATTCAAATCATGCCAGATAATGAAAACAAAAATAGGTATCAGAGAAAGATAGATTCTTCAATGAAAGGATTTCGTTACTTACCTTTGAAATCTGATATAAAATAATGAATATAGTGTGGGGATATTGCATCACATTAATCCCTCACCAATCTACATACCAGATATGTTTTTAATTGAAGAATACCAATTAAAATTATATTTATTTTTTAACATCTATCTCAAAACAATGTCGGATAACGCTTACCTAGCAATTTTAATAAATCTAAAATATTTTTTATCTATTAGTTTTGGGATGTAAACCAGCGGGTAAAAAAAAATACAACATTATTATAAATTTATACATACAATTTGTCAAATTAATTTCTTTAATAATATTGATTGGTATATTTTATAAAAAAAAATGATAAAACAAGTATAATTGTGTTTAAAAATTTTCCAATTGAACTTTTTGTGAAGGATTCGCGATTTTCGTTTGTTATGCTAAAAAATTTTCGTGATAAATTTTTTAGAAAATATATGTAGACTGTGAAAAATTGCCGTTAGATGAAATGACTATTGGCTGAAATATAAAGTTATTTAATTTTGAATATTTATTAATTTTTTTATTTTGTAGACAAGTAAGAGGGTTTGTATTAATTATGAAGGAAAGGATGATACCCAGGTTGCATCTCAAATAAAGGATTTCCTATTGGATCAGGGGGTGTAGGTTATGCCGTTGCGTCACAGTCTTCATATATTTTTTTAAAAACTTTATCACGAAAAGCGTAACAAACGTAAATCGCAAATCATTATTTCTTAAACAAAAACTTCAATTGGAAATTTTTAAAGTTTTTAGGTGCATTTTCTTTATTAAATTAAGCTCTTTAGAGCCTTCGATACTATTTAGTAATTTTATATATTTTTACATATTTTTATATAGTTGTTTTAATATTTTAGTGTTTTATCATTTTTTTAAAAAAATTATACCAAAATCAATATTATCAAAATAAAATTTTATAATGAGTAAAAATATTTCTTTAATTATATTAAATAATTATTAAATTTTGTTTAATAGTTTATTTGATCAAACTTTACTTGTAATTCATAAACCTTTTATTTTTTCTTGAAATTATGTCCAAAATATTTTTCTGTTTTGTACACTCTTTTTTAAAAAAATGTAGGTTTTAAATTTAATGTTTAAAACTTTCCAACTTTTTCTTTATTTAAATAGTTCAAAATATTCTTAAAAATTATTTAATTTCTATAAATTATTTTTATAAAAAAGATTTGGAATGTGTAGGTAATATCATTAATGCTTTATTTGGTATGAAGGGAATTGAAGAGATTAATCCCAAAATATTATCAAAATATAAATTGAATGATATAAAAATATATTTATTTACTATTGTACAAAAAAAAAATTTAAAAATAAAATTATATATATTAATATATTTCTTTTTAAAATGAATCAAATATAATGTGCCTCCAATTAAATAGCTCGTCAAAGAATAAAGGATTAGTTAAATCCTCTTAATTTGATAAGAGGTGTACCAGAAATTTGTAATTTTTGATGCGAGATTATTCATATATTTTTTTTAATATAATTGCGGAAATCAAAAATTTGTTTAAATTATGGTGTAATAGTAACAGATAATATAAATTCAATGCCCAAATTATCCTGGCATAGTTAACCCTATTTTCAGGATATTTAAAATTATAATATCTATTGTCTATTATTTTTTTTATTAAACTAATAATACTTTAATTATTTTCCAGTTAATGGGCTTGATTCTTTCAGTAATTAATAAATTTAATATATTAATTAATTATTTTTGAATAAAATAATTACTTAAATCTTAATCCGTTTATATATATATTATATCTATATTTAATTTAGAAATGAAGATCGACAGAGATAGTATAATATAATATTTGCTTTAGACAAACCATTATATATATATATAAACTGTTTATCAAGAAAAAGTAGAGTACAAACTTTTGTTCATCTTTGATTATCAATAATAAGTTTTGAGCTTAATATTCTTTAGTTTAATATTCATTTATTTAATATAAGGGTTGCCATTTCCCACATATTGAATAGTAAATTCCCTCTTTTTCTCAATTAAAATAGAGTATAACCATAATAATTATTAATTTATACAAATGTTACAGATTTTTATCAAAAATTATATTTGTTATAATATTTTAGTTTATTTAAAAATATATAATATATTTAGTTAAATTTGAGAATAATTTTATATCAATTGTTGACGAATCTAAATATATCTAGTTTACAAACCTTTAATATAAATTATATTCAAAATTTTAAAACATTTATTTTAATTTTTATTAAATAATTTCATTCTATTTTAAAATTTTACCTTAAAGATATATTGTCTAAATAGACTCATTGATATGCAATTTAAAGATTATTAATATGTAATTTTAAAATAAGATAAAAAAACATAACTGAAAAATTAACATAGAATTATTATTAATTCTCCTTTTTATATTATTAGAATATTCATATTAAAATAAGTCACATTTTTCTTTTTCTTTTATTATTATAAATTACATCTTATCTCCTTTAACCAAAAATAATTTTCCTTTTATATCTTTTTTTAACAATAAATAAATAAATCATCAAATAACCAATTATGTAAAATGAAAAATGTTCGTTTAAAATTGTTATCAAAAAAAATATATCAATTGTCAAAATTAATTAATTTTAAAATAATGTTAATATGATAAAATAAAACGTTAATATAAAATATCAATCACTTCTTTAACAATAACCAATAAGCTTGCAGATGTGAAATCCCAAATCTTTGAACAAGGATAATGAAGCTTATGAATGAGAGTTCAGGTTTTAGATATTATTTAAGTAAAGATATAATCTTCTGAAATTTTTAAATATTTGGAAATTTTAAGCTGTTCTTTTTGCTCTAGAGTTTGGAGTTTAATTGGATAGGCATAATACTATATAAGAATAGAAGTAAATGGGAAATTGTCCTCAGTTCTGTGAGGTCAGGGTAATTCTGTCAGGCCTCTTTTTATTCTAATATGTCCAGATGGTTCAATAATTGTAGGTATTTGAGCTTCAATATATATAATGAACCTTTTAAAGTCGAATTTATGAACGATTTAATTGAGACGACGATCTTTCCTTGTTTTAATTTCTATTTTTATAGTCACAATTTTACTCACTTGTAATTTAATCTATATTTCACATTAGTAAAGACATTAAAAGCTATAGGTAAATAACTATTATATATTTTTTATGATACTGAGTGTATAACTTAATACTATTGATAAATAAACAGTCATTGAAAATTAACTTTATTACCTTAAAACAAAAATATTACCTGGGATTTTTTTATTAATTGAATTTCCATTGTCTAAATGTATATTAAGATAAATCAAAAGAAACACACCGAAAATATACTAAACCTAAAATCCAGGTCTTTCTTTCAGCTGATTTTACAAAGATATTGAAGATTAATTATTTTAAAATATCTTAGATATAAATTACAAATTTTATAATAAGTGTAAGGCTTAACTAATATTTAATGTTGAACTAGTAGCTAAATAAAAGTTTAAAGTAGATGCAAAATACTCGCTTGTCATTATTGCCCCGATTCAATAAATATGGGTAATAAAGTTAGACTGAGTAAGACAGGCATAGCTTTGAAAGTCATCTTATACTTATCTCTATTCATTTTACATAGTATAAACATATTATAATTATTCTATATATTATTAAAGAAGGAAATTAGATAAATGAAGAATCCGTGAAACAATAAAATTATATATAAATTGTTATTTTAAAATCTTAAACTGTCGTAATTATGATATTATTAAAACATGGGATCCGCTTTATAACAATTTTTTTAATAGATTATAAGGGTATTGGTTATCTTTGCTAAAATTGTGATTTAATAACATTTACATTATTTCGATTATTCAAGATTATAAGTGTATTATGGTTAATTTACTAGAATTGTGATTTATAAATATTTACATTATTCATTTTCTAATTAATAATAAAATTTTGGGTTCAGCATCACAAACCAATATTTAGTATGTAAAGTACTTCTTAAAAGATTTTTTTTTAAATAAAGAAAAACCAATAGTGTTTTTAGGTCCGATAGTTGTAAATATTTTTACCAAAAGTAATCCATAAAATAAGAGTAATAGATTTTATTCAGATTATTGGTATCATTCGTACTAAATGCCGATATACACTATAATTATGATAAAAAATTAAAAATACGTCAATCATTATAAAAGTTTTGGGTATGAATTTTATAATATTTCGCATTTATTTTAGAATGTATCTAATGGTTAGTAAGAGGGCAGAAAATACAGGTTAGAGTTAATATATATATATAGGTTGACTAAATTTTGGCAGTAGCAATCCAAACAAGAAAATCAAACATTCAACTAGTTTGAAACCTTCTGTTTATGCTCCTTAATCTCTAAATAATATAATAAATAATAGTAACACTAGATATTTTTAAATTGTTATTCAAAAAAATTTACGTGACCAGCCTTTTTTGAGTAGAATTTTATAATGCTAAACTATGTTTTGCATAATGAAAATGTATTTTTATTAAATAGGTAAGTGATTAAAAAAAAAATTGTAGGCAACAAACCCAGTATCAGGAACCTTTAAACTTATTTTATAGAAACTTTTATCACGAATGTCATGAATGGCGAAGGAATTGAGCAAAGGTAACATTTCTAAACGAATTAGTTATCCATGAAACATTTAGCGAAGACAACACCGCGAATTTATTTCTGCGAAAGTGAATAGCGAACACTTTCATCTTGAACCAATTTAAAGCAAAACACACATGGCCAACTCTTTGTATGAAAATTTTTTTTTTATCTCCGGGCGAAACAATATATATATTGCGATGTATTAATCAAAAGAAAAATAACATATTAAATAATAATTTACCCACATAAATTCTTAAATCATAAGAGACAAATGTTTTAAGGGTATTTAGTTACTTATATTAAGCAAGCAAGATTTGGCTTAAATGTGACCTTTATCTAATATGCTATTAAAAAATAATATTCTATATGTTTAGAATTTTTTCCTTATATGAGTTTCGAAAATATAGTAAAATAAATTTTCACCGATAGTTTTTAAAAAAATTATTAAGTAAAAATTCTAATTTACTCAGAATTTTTTTTATTGAATTTTCCGAGTTAACGAGATATCTCGGCTAATTTCCATCTTAGATTTTCTTTTATATTTGCGAATTTTTCTAAATATATCTCGAAAAAATTGTAACCATTGATGATCCATAAAAAGAAAAGTTTTAACTCCCCATTTATGTGGTTTTCAGCTAAAATATTGCTAAATTTACATAGACCTTATAATGGGACAATCATTTTGTCGAGGGATAATCTATCCTCTAATTGATCAAGTTCACTTTTATTAACACTAATATTTGTATAACGGACATGAGAAGTTCCCTTTTTATTAGCACTAATATTTTTATAATAGGCATGAGAATATATTCAACTTTACTTAATTATTTTTAGGTGAAACGCAATTTATACATCTTTTTAATAATATAGCAAACCCTTCTCGAATTTAGACCACCTTTTGGAAATTTCTCGACAATTTATATGATATCGGGAGATAAAGCTTCTTTTTTTTCAGTGTAGGAGTATTAGTTTTAGCATTTAAAACAATTTGTAAATAGTAAATATTAAAAAATTTATTTTAAGCTCATCCATAAGAACTTTAATTCGGTTGAAAACTCAGTTTCTTAAAAGAATATTTTCTTCTTGAAGTAAAAAATCACATAGGAGATAGCTTAAAATTCCCCTATAAGTCCAGCTGAAGTAGGTCTAGAGTGTATTTCTCATAATCAAGACAATATTAAGTGCATTATCACAAATATTTTTTTATTACCCAAAAAATTAATCAACTAATTTCAAAATACGTAATTATTAATGATGTATAAATTATACAATCATAAAATACCCGAAAACAATAGTAATATCGCTTTGAGGATATCGTAGAGATTTGCGAAACACAGCTCGGCCTTAGCCTAAGAAAATTATTTAGGTTCGGCTTTAATATTTATTTATAAAATAGGGCCAGGCCGGGCTTATTTTTAATTGTAGAATATTTTTTTTACAATCAAAAAAAATGTAATGAAGTTTTCTACAGTTTTAACCAGATTTGATGGTAAACATTTCTATATTTTTATTTATTTGAAAATAAAATTATCTGAATTGCAAAAAATTGTTAAAATAACATATTTACATATATTTTTATCAATCTTTACTAGTTGTTAAAAGTAGCGCGCCATCGCTATTTGTCAAAAAAAGTAGCTAAATAAAAACAATGTTTTATTTTTTGCTAATCTAATTGTATAGTAAATATATAAAAATCAACATTTATAAATATTAAAATATAGTTAGTTTTGGTTATAGAAAAATTTATGTAATAAAAATAAATATTTATGGTAATTTGTTGCATTTTATAAGTTTTTACCTAGTGTTATGTGTCCAACTATCTGCCTGATAACTCTACTATTAGAGCATCTTTCATCACTTTAAAGTTATCTGCTATTTTATTCATTAGTGTCTGGCGACATAAAATTGTTGTACCAGGGGATAGTCTTAATCATCATGGTAAATGATAGATTGATAAATGTTGGCATTTGTATTATTAATTAATTTTGTTTGAATAGAATTAGAGTCGCCTATACCAAAATTATTTTGATGTTTCTCCATTTCCTTAAAACTATTGGCATGAACAGTCTAATAAAATAATTACTGTAAAAATGACAATTTACCTTTTGGTGTTTCTTGAGGTTATAACTGGATTGATTTGAGGAAATATTTTTTTTAAATAAATTTGAAGCCAGTTTTGGTTTTTATATTTATTTTAAAAAAATTTCAAATCTAGGGAATGGGAAATTTGTATTATAGCTATTAAGAACATTTTCTTTCCTGGTATCTTCCATTTCATTAATATCATTGTCTGAATCACTTTCATCGATTTGGATATCCATAGGCAATGACATTTTAAATTAGTAACACGCGATTTAGGATTATGATACAAATGAAAATATAAATTACAAAATTAAAAATATATTTCAATTTCAAAATCAAATAATAAATCATAAAAATTATAATTAATTATGATATTATATTTAAATTTTTATATTTAAACTAACCTTCATTATATTTTTTAAAAGTAGCTATGTAGCGCGCTAAAAATTAAACAATTTTAAAAAAGTAGCCACTATTAGCTATAGCTACCAAAAAAGATAGCGCGCTACAAGTAGCTCGCTACTTTAACAACTCTGATTTTTACAAGTTAAATAATTTACAAACGAATTAAAAAAATATGTAAATGTTTTAAAATTAAATCTGCACGATACCGTATATTTAAATAAATTCGGGCAGGGCCGATAAATAAGGTTTATTTTTATTTCGTGTCAGACTTTTCGGAGATCGGGTGGTGTAGATTAATTTTTCATAAAAAAATTTCGGGCCGGGTTTGAAAAATTAGACCCGATGCAACTAGGGTATCGGTTCAATCCGAATTTTTAGAAAACAGTAAATATCAACCCAGTATGGAAAATTAATAATATATCTACTCCTACAGTTATTCAGTTTAATTTATTAAATAAATTAATATATTGGCTTCTTTTTTTTAAAAAAAAATATCAAAAATGTCATAATAAAAATTAGGGCATGAATGCATCCATGACAGTATATTATATATTATATATATAAAAGTTATGATGTTTTTAATAGTATTTTTTTTTAAAAAATGTTATTTTATAAATGGGATATTTATCATAAATTACAAAATAATATTCACAAGATTATTCTATTTTTAACACAAAAAAAGGAAATAGAAATATTTTTCGAAATTAAAATTATAAACGCTTTGAAATTATCACAGAAATTTAATATTTTAGTTTTCAGCAGTTTTCCCTTCATTTTTTAGACAATTTTAAGTTAATCCAATAGAATTCTTTGAGGACTATCCCGTCAATAGTAGCAGAAAGTTGCTTGGAAGGGATTTGCATGAAGGATTTGCTCCCACAGTTATATCTACAGTTAAGGTAGATTTTTTTTAAAAAATATATATAAATACATTATATAAGCTTTAACTTTAGGAATAATATGAATGATTTATACAAAAATTTTAATTTAAGATTATAAAAAAATTAACATAACAGTAAATAGAATTAGAGAAAAGCAAAACGTTCGTCAGTCAAAGCGTTTTATTTCTAGGACTGGACAATAGAACTTTTCTTAATAGTGCATAATCTTATGCTCAGATGAGTATGCTTTTTGCTCAAAGAAAGAAAAAAAAAGAAGTGAGTAAAAAGTGAAACTTATAAAAATATTGTATAATTCCATCTTGATCGGCCACGATAAGCTTAGGCCCCAAGCCGTGGATCTTGTAAAGTTCTAACCCGTCGGGCTGATTGGTCCGTTGATAGAGAGCCCGGTATTGCATTTGACGATCGCGAAACAAAATTATGAATTGCTTGTGTTCCAGTGATCGGTTCATGGCCTTTAAATCAGTTTTAAAAAAATTAATCAAATTTTAGAAATAAGTAATGTTGTACCCTGCCCAACTTTCTAGTTCTACGAAGATTTTAATGTATCTTCGATTATTTTTGGCCAGATAAAAATTATTAGAATCAAGTATCTGGAAATAATGGAATTTCGTTTCTCTTTCCGGTTCCTTTATAATTTAAAAATCCATCAGGGAGAGTGCTAGTTATTTTAAGATTTAAAAAAAAATGTTTATTTCCGGTTCTGTTTTTTAAAAATTGACAAAAATAGTGTCGTTTAACAAGACTAGATTTGGTAATATTTGTTTTATATTGTAATTATATAATTTTGATTTTTAAAAAAATGATTGTTTTATAAGATTAAATAATCTAATAGCGAATGTTGTTTAGAAATCTATTATTTGTCAACCGTTAAAAAAATATAATTTAATTAGTTCTATAACATTAGATGTTGTATTTATATAATATATCTTCTAAAAATTAATCTCTAAAATGCGAAATAAATGATGTTTTCTAATAAAACTATAAAAAACCTCGATAGCCCTTGTTTTAACGTCCGTATTAACTGGGCCAGCTAGAACCGAATAACTGAGAGCTTGAATTATGAGATTCCTGTTAGATCTCTCGGAAAGTTTGGCATTTACCCTGGAAGAACCTATAATAAATATATTGTTAAGTTCTATTTGAAACATTCATTAAATAAAAAGAAATGTTTTTCTGTGAATGGCACAGAAGAAATGTATTAACAAAAATATAAATAATACTCGATCTTGTAATGTTATTTGACCACCGTTTGATATATTTTTATAGTTTACAATTATTTTCGAAATTTAAAACGATTAATAATCTCTTTAAATAAAAAGTTAATTAATAAATTTCATAAATTATAAAAAAAAAGTATAGACTTTCAAAAAGTATGCATGGAGGAAGATATCCGTTTAATGTTAAATACTCTCAAGTTAACAAATCAAAGTCGAAATATTTTTTAAAATGCAATAAAATTCATTTTTTATGTATTAAGTGATGGTACAACGCGATCGCCCCCGCTCTACTATGTACCATCCCCACTATAGGACGGAACCACCAAGTTGGCTTCAGAAAAAATATATGGCCCTTACTGGATTCGAACCCACCAGAACTAAGAGATTGGCCAGAAACGCTCTTATTATGCTAGTACACAAATGCTTTCCAAAAATTACGATTTTTTAATATATATTATAACCAAATGTGGCAGTATTGGATCCAAATAAACAATAAATAAAATATCAATTGGTTCAACACAGCCTTTGGTAGTAACTCAAGATCTCCGCTCACTAAGCTAAGATCATCGTAATGTTGGTCCATGTTAATTTATCATAAAAAATTACTATCTTATGCTTATTTTTATAAAAAAAAATTATATTAAAATGTAATCAATATATAACATTTTAAGTTTTTATTTTATATCCAAATTTATAAGAGATCATTATAAATTCACCCAAGAGAAGAAATATAGCATACCAATTAACCACAAGTTGAATTATCAATAGAGATAATTTAAGTAAATATAAAAATATCGGAATATATAGGACTACTCAAAATAGAGGTCTAAAGATAGCTTTTCAAAGAAGTAGGAATCTAGGAAAAAAAATGTCTTTAAAAAAAGGGCAAAAATATGATTTAATGAGATTTCTGCGAATAGCTTAGTGCTTATAGACCTAACAAAGAAAGTTTAAGTTATTAAATTGGGATTTAAAATAAGTAAATTAGATAAAAGAGCAATGAGCAACAAACGACGAATCAAAAACGAAGTAGGGTTATATTAAAATATGCAGAAACCTTCAACCCTGATTGCTTACAAAGAACCGCTATGTTTCCTTGATGCGTGAATGCAAAAGGTCGATACGTTCCATTTATAAATAACAAAATAATTACTGTTAAATACCGAGATAATCTACTAATTACTGATAGACGAAGAATTTAGATTTTAACTATGAAATCGATTATCCCAAAAACATGGAGCAAAATCTTATTAATTGAAATGCCACAAAGAATAGCCGCATATTTATAAATAGGCAAAGGTAAGATATACACAATTTTAATATATCTTGGCAAAATATTGGAATTTCGAATAGAGCTACATATTTTAATAATCTAAATATAATAATTAATCATTTGTATTATTTTTTTGCTCATTATTATATAGTTATTCTATCAAAAATGAGTGTTGATGATTGTATTTTAAATCAAAATTTATAATAAGTTTAAAAATAATATGAGTGATCGCATATTAATAGGGTGTAGAACGATCCTACGACCATTATTCCTACATTTTTGTGTCTATTGCTTTAATAAGGAAAATCAAGATAACCGAATCGTCATCAATATCGGATTATTTTTCCATGGGAGACATTTTTGGATTTTTTTAAAAAAAAAACCTGATAGGGCGACATTAGCAGAAAAAAATGGACCCGGGGCTAGGCCTTAAAAATTGATAGGCAAAATGGACAAAATAGTGCGCACGTTCGCAAAAAAATCGAAATGTACTATTTGAATTGAGAAGAAATCATTAAAAAAAATTGTTATTCTCTCGTAATTTAAACCTGTCTTAAATTTAATGTTTGCTCTTATTTCTTTAAAATTAGAGGTCTGATCAATCCAAAATCCGAACAAAAAAAAGATATTAGGCCGGGGTAGTACAACTTTGATGCAAATTTATGTCATATTTTCCTTCACAAAAAATGCATATATTACGGGCTGGGTCTGACAACGCGCAAAAAAATAAGATGCATCTGAGACCTAAAAAAAATCTCTTGAGAAATCTTCCCGGGTCGGTTCGAGCAGAGATCTCTACTCTATATGGCAATTTATTTATTCTTCCAAAATAAAGAGGTAAATAAGAATATATCCGGAAAAAGCCTTATTTTAAATAAAAGAGCACTGTAGGGTTAAATCCGATAGCCTTGGGGAAGACCCCATAAGACCCCTAACAAAGGCTATGGATGAATAAGATCTTTTTTTTAATAAAAAAAATTATATATAATTTAAACCGTTGGTGGCACTTTGGGCTATTGCGCTGGTAGAACTAGAGACGCTAGTAGAGGAACAAGTGTGACTCGTATTTTTACCGTTGATACTTTTAGACATTTTTAAGCCGCCGTTTTTAATGCGGTTATGGTTGCCATTATTATTATTCGAGAATATTTTGATGGTAGACTTCTGGGAGGCGGTAGTGGATAGGGAGACGTTAGAATTTTTGAAACTCTCTTGGTACCTCGGGCATATATGGGTATGAGTGAATGGATTTTCTTGAAGGGATTCAAGATTAATCCCAGTTTCAAATTCTTATTTCCGTTATATTTTTTAAAAATAAAATCAGATCATGTGAGTGTTGATAAATCGTTCGATTTGAGCCAAAAAATGACTTAGACTAGTTTTTTTTAATCAAAGATTACTAAAGGACTAATGATAGCGTTTCAGGGAATTGGCTGAAATTCCGATTTAAAAGAAGAGAGGATATGCAGGAAAAGGGGGTGAGGTTTAACGATAAAATATTGAATCCTACATGGGATAATGTTGTTATTTAAAAATGGGAGATACTTTGGGTGTGAGTGTATAATTAGGAACAAATAAGATATTATTAACCATGTATTCTTATTATATCATGTTTTGAAAAAAAAATAACATGAATTATATAGCTTTTAAAAGGGAGGGGAAAGTAGGTAAGGAATATAACCGTTTATCAGAACAAAAAAATGCTTATACCATTTCCCTGTTCCTCTTGAATATCCCTGAGAGAGTATTGAGACTTAGCAGCTGATAGGGGTCGCCTGTTAAAACTTCTTTTAACCAAAACGATCTCTTTCCGACAGAATAATCCTCTTCCACCATTTATATCCTCCGCGTCCCTCGTGAGTTCCGCCGTAGGTTCTTGAGGCAGCCACTTACGATGGCTTGATTTGAAACCTTTGAAAGATGCGGAATTTCCTAAAATTCGCTTGTCCTTAGAGTCTTCATTGAAATGAATACCGCTGGAACGCTGTGAGGTCGTCTTTTTTTATTTAATTTTTTTTTAATTATAATATCTTTCTATTTCTAGGATATATTTTACAATTTGATATAAAAGTGAGATAAGCCGAATAATATGGTTGAAGTATGCCATACAAATTAACAACCTTGATTGAATTTTTGGCCTGATTTTGCGGTTGCGGTAACTGAGGCTTCAGGCGATATTCTTCGTTCCCGTATGAAGCCAAGGAAGACACGAGTTTAGAATCTGACGTGGAGTGTGTCGGGGAAGGTTGGTTAAATGGCAATACGGTCTCTGTTAGTTTATGGGCATAATTTTTAACGTTTAATAATGCTCATAATTTGATTCGTTTTCCTTATAATTTTGCACCAAAAAAAACCAAAATAGTTTGCCTTTTTTTAAAAAAAAATTACGCTGATCAAATACGGTCAAAATACTCTAAAATGTTATTGGCGAATAAATATAATGATTTAATTAACAAATATGTATGTAAAGCATGTTTATCAATCCATAATTAGGTTAACAATTTATTTAAAAAAATATATTTGTATCATCAAGGCATCAATTTAATTATAAATTCTATATTTAAATATAACATTTTCGTTCGCATCAATCATACTTACTAACGATAATATGTGATATTATACACACACGACTTATATAAATAATAACAATAATACGAGTTATATATTATACAAATATGGGATATGGTATTATTAATATTCAGGATCACGTTACTATCTTTTGGCGCGTTATCTTCTTTTTCTATTTTCAGACATAATCATATCTTTTTTAATGGGTTCCCCTTTCTTTTTGAGCTGTTTTGCTGCTTCTTCCAAGTTTTCAGTCTTGGTAATGCTTACTTTAATTTCTCTTTGTTTAGCTAATAAATTTAATTTTTTTTTACTATTAATTTTTGCATTTACGATTTGCTCTTCTTCTTCGCTCCATTCCTAAAATAATAAAATTCTATTTCGAATGAAAATTTGCCCCTTTTGTATATTTCTCACTTTTTTTTTCATATTTTGAATCAACATTGATCAGTGTTTTCCAAATATTTATTGCATCAATTAAGGTAGAGTCTTATTTAGAACGGTGGGCATTAGTTTTTATTTTAATTTTTTTTTAGGAGTGGAGTGAAGTAATTACCCATATCATTAGTAGAAATTTTTAGCGAGCGGCCAATTTATTACTATGTCTGACGCAATCTTTTATTATAAAAATGCCTGATCATCGAGATGGTAAGGAATCGTATCGATTTAATACTAGTTTTTAACATTAAATAATAATTGCTGTTATGAGTTACCAAAATGGCTGGACCAGCTGATTTGCATTCAACCAACGCTTTCAAATGCATTATTATGAATGTAACGTCAGTCTAAGTATTATTATATGTCATTGATTATTTTATTCAATGCTCACTTTTTGAAAAAAAAAAGATTTTATTTTCGCAAAATAAGGAAAAATGATAACAATGAAAATAGAACATGATTCTGTCATGGAGAGCGAAACATTAATTATAGAATAAAAAAAAAAGTGTCTTAAATAACATTTATTTAAATTTTACCATATTTGACCGGTAATATCCGGCAATTGACCGGATCTCATTCTACCGGTAACCTAGTTTTTTATGAAACGACTCAATTTGTAAGTATTATTAGAAGTCTAAGTTTAAAAAAGGGGTATTCGGGAACAAAACTAAATATCTTTATAAGATGAGATTCTTTAACAACTTTTTAAAAATCCGAAAGAAACATAAATAATTAAATTAAATGGACTCACTGGAAGGGCACGGAGGAACGTCGGTATTATTTCGTGCCCGTTTCGCCTCTAGATAGTTTATGAGTATAGCTTGTTTTCGCTCTTTCACTTCTTCCCTTTTCTTTTCAAGCTCGATCTGTTTGGCCCTGAGACGCGATTTTAATGCACGAGGAAGAGAGGAAAATCAATTTTTTAATAAACAATATAATGACCGTAAATCTGCACATAATCGTATGTTTCTGCGTCAGAATAATCTAGTAACGGACGTGATTCGCTAAGAATGTGAATGATTCATAATTATAGTCGCGTTCAAATTATTTGGAACGAGGGTAAAAAGCTGAGATACATTCAATAAACAATTTTTTGGACAATATCGAGACTTATGAAATGTATCGACTTCTATGCGAACTATCAATGTTACTGATAAATCCTGATACAACTTTAATAGTCGGCGCATTGTTTTGAAACGTCGTGCTGATTACCGTCACAGTTAGGAATTTAAATCTATTAACCTGACAATAACTAAGAGTTGCTTCGAATTTTTTTTAAATCATTTAAAAAACATATAATAAGAATTTAGTCCAACCAGAGCCTTCTAAAATTGAGCGTTTCGTAATCATTAATATGAGATAAAAAATATAAATAATAGTTATAACGCATAAATGGGGAGTTTTAAGTATATTATCAGGGTTCAGGGACAGAACAAAGGCGTTTTTGCGTTTCTGTTCTGTCTATGTATCCGCGTTTTAAAAAAAATATCCAATTCTAATTCATTAATCCTTATGATATTGCTCAATTAAATATATCTAACCTAAGTATTAATTAAGACATTTCGGTGTGCAACTAAGCAGGCTATAACATTTTTAAATGTGCAAACGTTAGAAATTAATTGGTCTCGCTATCTTTTAACTTATTGCGCTTGAATTCTAGAAAGTTTAAGGGAAGTAAATTTTTGCGCTCAAAGCAAAAATAAAATTTTACAAGCTTTTCATGTGTACTTAAAAATTGTGATATCGGCACATCTCTGATAAAAAAAAAGGTTTAGATTGATTTCAGCAATTTTCGACCAAGCAGTGATTATGATTATTCTCTTATATTATTATGATAATTATATCCCCTCCCCCCATACAACTGTGCATTTTTAATTTCTGCTTTCCTAAAGAATGCTGCGTTCAAGATTATAAACCGTAATATACTAAAATTAAGGGGATGGAATTTGTCAGGTTTATGTTTTAAGTAAGGTAGTATGCAAAACGAGATTATTCAAAGATTCTAAATTTACTATAAGAATACAGGGAATTGTCAAAAAAAAATCCACTTCAATAGAGACTAGAAAGATCACGAAGGGCTTTACTACCGTTTAAAAAACAAATTATTCCTAATAGTGGTAAGTTTAATGGTTAAGTGTAAATAACTAGATTCTTACAAAATTTTTAGACAAACCTATTATAAGTTACGAAATAAATCTGGTCGTTTTGTCACAATAGTTTTCATATATTCACTATGTTTGAGGGAGAAAAAAATTAAGAATAGAAGGTTAAAAAAATTTTTTTAAATAATTGAAGATTGGAATTGACCATTTTTGTACATAAAAGTAGTTTACCATTCAAACGGGAAAAGGTAAGTATGTATCCCTTTTAGAAAAAAAAAATAAAATGGAATTCTATTCATTTATTTCCTATCTGCACCGTGATTGAAAACGATCGTTTATTTCCAGAAAAGGATATTTTAAAAAAAATAAATAATCATATGATTGTTATAGAGAATGTTCTCTACGAATAAAAAGTACGGTCCATTCGTCCGAGTAAAATTATCACACTTCTAGCAAACCGTCCGTATACCAGCTGATTCGTGACGTGTAGATTCACCTAGAGGAGGTAACTACGACAACGATACTCCCCGAGCCTTGAAAAATATTAAATTTGGCAGGTGACTTGGATTGAAACAAGATTTTAGGCAAAACAATTTAAAGGTCATTTTAACGATTCAGAATATATTAAATTTTTTTCCATTCGTATCGGGTGGGGTCAATCTGCTTCGGGGCATTGAAGGAATGCTAATTTTGAAAAAAACCTTAAATATAGTTGTTTTTTTTTAAAAAATAATATTAAACATCATTTTCTCTCTTGCTTGAGCGGCTTTGGCATTATTCTTTGCCTTGGATGCTTCCATCTCGGCCCTCCTTTTAACCACGTTCAAAATTATGATTTCTTTACGTTTAATGATCGATTCATCTAAATCCTGGAATAGAATGAGGGTGGGGGGGGGGGGGTAAATATATTTTTTTTGAATATCATAGGTTAGATCAAATTTTATAAAAAATAATTCTCCCGTGCACAATTTAAAGCGCGAAGAACCGAGAAAAATATAAAACATAGTAAATTTTAATTCAAATCGTTAGGGAACGGATACATAATAGAAGTTGAACCTACGTAAATTCGAGTTCATTTATAAAATCTTAAATAATGCTTAACTTTATATAAGTTGTAAAATGACATTTTACATTGTAGTATAAAATACCATAAATTGTGAAGCTCCTTTTTTTCTTCTATCCAACATAAAAGTAAATAAATACTCTAAAAATACCCGGTCCGGGCCTCGCAAATGGTACCAGTCTCTGATTTTAATAATATAGAAATGAAAAAAAAGAGCCCATGTTACCCCTTAATTTTATTCCTACAATTTTTTTTTTTGAAATAATGATACCTCGTCTCGGGATATCCCTAGTTCAGTATCCATCCCTGAACAGGAAGTGCTCTCGTTTTTAAAGGGATGATGGTCCAGCGGAACGACGAATCCCATGCTCTTCTTGACATCCGAATCGTGGTGTGGTTGGTTGGAGGAAGAAGAATGGGAGAGGGAGGAAGGAGGGAGCGAAGGCGATTTGTTAAAATTGGCACCGGGAGGGAAAAGAGAGACTTTCGCGGGTCTCGGAGTCTGTTATGGAAGGAGTATTTTTTTTGTTGATAGGATCGTGTAGAAGCAGGATAAATGTGATGATTGACATGTATCGTGATTTTAAAAAATAATTGGTTAGCCGAAGCTCTTAGAAAAATGGTCACTCATGTTAGCCAAGATATTGATGGTTTGGGCATTTTTTTTCTTCTTTAAACACTTTTTTCAATATAGTATCATTAACCTTATCCCATATCTGGTAACCCAAGACTAATATATCAAGCTCGGCCCAAAATATTTTTTAAAATAAATTTCTACTAATATTTATTAATATAAATATGCATATTGTGAAGAAAATTAATAAATGTTTAATAAGTGATTTATCGAATTATATAAGAGCAATAATAATTCTTTGTCACGAGATTATAAGAATTTAAGTGATAATTCTGAAAAACGGTCAAAAATAGTAAAATTTGAGGGATCAGGCCTAGCTGGAGGATTTAAAAAATAAATCAGAATTTAATTTTAATTTGTAAATGAGACCTTTTGATCATCGATATCGAGCTTGCTTATTTTGCCCATCAAGACATTGACAGTCCCGTGGTTAGATGGATCATGTCCCAATCTAGTCGAAGAAGGGGTATAATAATCGCGAGGAGTCGCAAGAATGCCATCAGAGCTTCGGTGCGCATCGATCACATAGCTCGCCTCCAACCTCTGAAGATTGTCTTGACTTCTGCGGGTCAAGAAATCGCCGCTAGTAGACCTAAGGTCTCGATATCCGTTGCCATCATTTACAGTGCGAGCCAAAATCAAATTTTCGCTCGTATGGGTATCATAGGTAGCGGATTTACTCAATACATTGGCAGAGGAACCGCCATGTGGTCCGGAAATACCAAGATGAGGTATTACGCAAGGAGGATGATTATTAGGTTTGCTTTTTGAATCATTCTCGTAAGAGTTGTCATTGTATCTCTCGCAAGAAGAGGCGACATTTTCGTCTGTTACTGTATCATGGGTATTGCAGTTACCGAATACGGTAACGGTAGAAGTGCCAAGAGGCCCGGAAATACTTAGATAAGGTACAGTGAACGGAGGTGAATTAATCGGCTGGCTCCTCTTATCTCCATTGTAGGAATGGTAATTGTATCTGTCACGAGAAGACGGGACATTTTCACCCGTCGCTGTATCATAGGCAACGGAATTACTTAATACAGTGGCGGAGGAACCGCCACCAGTCCCAGATATACTTGAATAAGGTATTACGTAAGGAAGTGGATTATTCGGCTGGCCCCTCTTATCTCCATTGTAGGAATTGTAATCATACCTATCGCTAGAAAATGCGGCAGTGTTATGCCGGTTAAAACGGTCTGGCTGATATTCCAGGTAGGTGTTATTTGGCCTCTCCTTCTCATCCCGTCGAATGTATTCTTCTTCCTTAATATTGCTATCGCGATAACCTTCTTCTTTGTAGTGGGCTCCTAATGTGCCGAAATCTCTAGTGCGATCCTTATTTATTGTCTCTCGGATATCGTTGTCGTACATTAGTTCGGGTTGGCAATGATGGCCAGATTTGCGCAAATTGTAGTTATCAACGTCATTTGGGTGCCGATGATGGATATTATTGGGGTGCTGAGGAATGGGGATGTAAGGCTGGCGTGTTTTTGGAACAACATTACGATTAGCGGCTGCAAAATAGGAGCCGCCATTAGAAGGGGAAGAGGATGATGAGTGCCGAAAGTTGGTGCTGTTAGTCACGAGGCTTTCGCTAACAAAATAAAAATAAAAATGGTTAAAAAAATATATGACATAATGATTATAGCTTGAAACCGGAACTAAGCCTGTGCCGATCATCCAAGTTTTCAACGATTCGATATTATTACAAAGCCTATCCTATAATCGATTATACCTAAAACGAATTATTCGTTATTCAATTCGTATTTTAAGAATAAGGGTAACATTAGAATCGAATAAAAACGATCGAATTATTGGAATAATTTGAAATTTTTCGATATTATCAGCAAATATTTGAAACCGTTATCATTAAAACGTATTCATAAATATTTAAAATTATTTTTATTTATCATCTTCCATAAGGAACATTTTATTTATTTATTTTTACTCTCTTTCCACAATCTTATAAAATCACAAATTTTAAATTTTACGAAAAAAATATCTTTTTAATTTTGATTCAACTTTTACCAAAAATTCCAAATATGTAAGAAAAAAAAATATTCTTTTATAATTTTCATTCATAAAAAAAAATCTAAAAAAAAAATATTCGAAGATTTATTCAAAAAAAATCATGAAGATTTATTCAAAAAAAATCATGAAGATTTATTCAAAAAAATTATGAAGATTTATTCAAAAAAAATCATAAAGATTTATTCAAAAAAATCATGAAGATTTATTCAAATCATGAAGATTTATTCAAAAGAAATCATGAAGATTTATTCAAAAAAATTATGAACATTTATTCAAAAAAAATCATTAAGATTTATTCAAAAAAATAATGATTTTAAATTCCAATTTAGGGTTGTTAAAAAGTACGGTTTGGGTCGATTTTTAAAAACGGCCCGATTAGATTTGGCAAGCAGAAGCCCAATTTTTTCAGCAATCTACAAGCGAAATTACCAGCCGTACACACAATTATTTTGTCTATATTCGATTCGTTGTAGGTATTTATTAATCGATACCAACGACATTTTATATAGATTTATATTTATACCATCTTATCTTTGAAAAATGTCATATAAAATCAATATTTTTTTTTATTCAAGTAAAAAAAACTGTAGGGGGGTTTTAAGTTCAATAGTGTAGTATTTAATGAGCGGATTATATTATAAACGGTCAACGCTTGGCATGCGAGGGTTTAGATAATAATAATAATTCTAAATTGTAATGAATCCTTTTTTTTTAATTCTTGGTAAAAAACTCAAATTTTCTAAATTTTTGCAAATTAATAAAAATTAGAAACATGTCCGAAATCTTCCATTACTTTTTTTTACAAAATAAAACGAAAAAAACAAATCCAAAATAAAACGATTAAAAAATACGAAAAATAACATGCTTTAATATTACTAGATTTTTCATAAAAATTATCTAAATAAATAAATTTTTTGTAAATTACGAAATATGATTTAGAACACCATTTTATTTTTACATTAAAAATAGCTTGTTATTTTTTTTCCTTCAAAATTTATAAATTTATTTATTTATATTTTTTTTAAGATTTTAGGACACAGCCTAAACTAATAATTATATAACAATAATTTTATATATGTTATTATAATCGTTTTTCAACTATACAATATAAAATAAAACGTAAATATATTATATATTGTTAATTTTAGAAACTATAATCTATATTTGGAACTACATGATTAAATATCTTTTTCATTTAGGCATTTTTGTAAAATTATTAAAATAAAATGCTGTTTATATTTAAAATAATAAAATTGTTTTATCAAGCATAATGCTATAAAAACCAACTTAACTTTTAGAATGATTAAGTGTACTTTGCTTTATAATTCTCCAAGAGTTAATCATTTTTAAAAATATAGGCAATGGGCTGAATGTAGTATTGCTAAACGCCTCGTTCGGTCGATTTTTAAAAACGGATAAATCACGATTTCTTCTTCCTCTCCGTTTTATGGCGATTTCCGGGTTTACCCAGGTTGGCCTGTTTTCCTTCTGATTTTTCTTTTCCCATTTTTGACGGTCCTGAGCATCAATATTAGTAAACCATTCATGTTTCTCATTCTCATATCTCCCCGCTATCACATTTGTCCACGTCGTCTTGGGCCTTCCTCTAGGTCATAATCCTCCTACTTCCATCAAGGTGCATCTCTTTACCCAGCCATCTTTTGTCATACGTTCCACATGCCCCCAAACCATCTTAGTCTACTTCGTCGTATTATTATTCCAATCATTTCTATACCCAATCTCTTGCTGGCAATTCCTTGCTGAATAGATCACGATCTAAGCCAAACTCTTTATTACTGATGCCTCGAAATTCCATCATTAGATGATTAAGCCATAAATAGATGATTATTATCCAACCATCAAGTTGGATGAAAAGTATAAAAGGAAGTTTACAAAAAAGGGGCATTGAGAGGTGACTAACTACGAATAGATCTGTCACATAATTGTAAAGTGATATTGATTAATACCATTATTAAAATGGCGACTTTTCGGGCAAAAGAGGAAAATTGAGAGCTTAAATTCAATATTATTTTTCATTTTTATTTTTAAATAAAAAAAAATTAACAAAATTTTATATACTTTTTATTAATTTTATGATACTTTTCTTTTTCTGTCTGTCAAGTATTTTCTTTTAAAAATGTCCACGATCCAGATAAAAATCAAATCAAATTCATGGTTTTTATTTTATTATTGGTGTCTGTCATTTGTTTTTTTTTTAATTTATTCAATTTTAAATTTTTTAAAAAAACTTTAAAAAAAACTATATAAAAATAGGCTTTTAACAAAATTTGTAAAGAGAAAAATCAATCAAATAACGCAGCACAACTTTGTAAGAGTAATTATATTTTTAATATAGCCTGTGATAGGTAATGGTAATGAAAATGGTAATCGTGCATTTCTGATTACTTTTTTTCCCCTATAAATAATAATCAAATATTTTCCCTATAGTTTTACGTTTCGAATTGATGGTGGTCGAGATAGTAACGGTTGTTGGTGCGACTGTTCAGATCTAGGCTCAATAAATTGTTGGTGAGGGAATCGCAATCGACAACAGATAAGGCGCTTTTCGAGTTGGGTAGCGCATTGCCTCTCCGGGCGTACCTGGATATTTGTCGGATCTGCTGTTTCCTGGCCTCCATCCTCGTCTTGGGATTGGACGACGATAATTGTTGGTGACGATTTTGGTAGTAGCGATTATTATTATCGTTATCGCCGTTAATACGTTGGCCGTAGGGAGAATTACGGTTAACGCCGCTGTTACAGTTATAGCGAGATGCGTTTCTGAGGTTAGTTTGGAAGTGATTATTTGGTTTCGCTTCAGCGAAATTTGGCAGAGGTAGGTTTGGCGGCTGATGATTCATGAGGACTATATTAGTTTAAAAAAAATAAAATCATTAATTTACTCAGCCTCAAAAGTGTACGCCAAAAAAAATCCGCTTATGCCAGGGTTAACTGACTTTTTTGCTTCACGCTTATGAGAACGAGCGTAATCAATTCAATTGTTTTTTTTTAATCTTTAAAAAACTGCGAGTTAACCTACCAGCTGTTCTACTAATTAACATTCATATATTTATTAATTTTTTACTGTTTGATCTATACATCATATCATTGGTAGCGAAGGGACATTTGTTATAGGTATGATATTTGTTGGGAAGTTGGTAATTGTAATGGCTGTCGATGTTGCTATTATTTTTTGTGCCAACACCGCCATGATCGTTGAAATATTGCCCATGGCTTTCGCTTTGGCTTTGGGTTAGTCTATAAGGGGCAGGTTGGCCATGGTTCGGAAGACCTAAATATCAAAATTTATAGCAATTGTTATAACAGGAAATTTTTTTTAAATTATTATGTGACTAAATTTCATGATTGGGGAGAAGAAAAGAAGGATTTTCAAAATGAGAGTACAGCTCTCGAGAGTTAACTTAAATAAAATAGGTACTATTTCAGCAGGTTTTTCAATGTTAATGTGAGCAAAATTTCATAGTTTTTTTCTCCGCTATTATTAAAAGTGTTTTTTTTTGTTCGAGTCTTAGCAACCCCACCCCCACATAATTTTATCATGTGTTTTAATCATCCGCCTTGCGGGCGTGGACCAAAGCCCGAAGCGGGTATATAAGTGGGGCCATAAATTTTAAACCCGGGACTAAAAAAAATTTTCTTTAAAGAAAACATAGGCAGAGCCTATTTAAATTGAGTGGGTTAAATAATTTAATATCCATTTAATGATCATATTTTCAATTTCCCCTCTAAAACGATTTACAGAATTTACAGCCAAAATTATTCAAAATAATGAACTTTTAAAATCAAAAATAAACTTAAAAAATATTTTTTAAAAAATTAAGTTTCATTGTTAATTGAAAGATGTATAGTAAATACAATTTTCCTATTTTTATAAATCAATATTCGAAATCATCAAACAATTTTGTTATCCCAATACCCTGCCTTAACTCGTTTAAATTAGTTATGAATTTCCATGCCGATATGTTATTTTTAGGCTAAATTAGTCACTAATTTTAGTAATGCTTCTTAAAATTCACAGCTAATTTCATTGAACAAGGGAGGGGAATATTAAAAAATATTTTAGATATAACCTAAAATTAATATTTAAAAAAAATGTATCTTACAATAAAGAAAAATACAATGAATGATACAATTATCCGAACCGATGATAATTATTAACCGAGTGACAACTGACACATCGATTGCCACTAAGATTAGATAGTTCGCAAATTTTTCTTAATTACTTAATAATGCGAAAATAAATCATTTTAAAAAATCATTTAAAAAAAGATGAAGAAATTATGAGGTTTTAAAAATAAATATATAAAAGGGGGTATTTGGATTACAAATAAAATTCAAACCTGTCTCATTTTGAAAGCAATTGATTCGAGTATCGGATTGATATCCAGGTAATTGATTAAGATAAATGCGGGAATCCCATCTGTTCCTGTCAAATTATCGATCGTTTTTTTTTAAAAAAAATTATATAATATTTCGACGGTGCGGTCAAAAGTCCGATCCTAACCTGATCAGGTTCGTCCTTAAACCGTTTCAGTCTTATAAAGATAGTAGCGACTAATTTTAAAAAGCAAAGGAAAAGGGCAAAAAAAAATATGTTCAAGTCAGTCCGTCAGCTGGTGAACGTAAAATTAATACAAGAATTAGGTCCAATGATGGACGCTAACGCAACGATAGTATAAGTTGAGGTTTCTAGATGATTTATAGCTTATAGAAAAACGTTAAATATTTGTTTACTCGTTAGATAATTCGAAATGGTTGCGTTCAGCGTGGGTGTTGTTTTGCGGAAACCGTTCTAAAAAAATATATAAAATAAAACCCCGCATTATACGTCAGCTGATACACTTTTCGTGAGCAAAAAAAAAATGTACTAAACGAAACTGCCCTAAATTTTTTGATGGACAAGGGTTATATCCGGAGTTAGGAATTTGGACAAAAAAGGGCTCCTCCGGTCCAAATCTTTTTCTAAAAAAAATTGTGATTTTGGTCACTAAAATTTTGAAAAGTAGGTTATGGGTTCTGATTTTAGGTCTTAAATTTAGGGTTCTACTCGTTATCTAATACAAAATCCCTTTCCTGAAAAATATTAGCCACGTCTATTTCCTGACTTTTATTTTGAGAGTGATAAATGTTACTACCTTTATCACCCCTGCTGCCATTATCATTATGATCTGCGTAGTGTTCCGCTCTCAGCTCGTTCTCCTCCAGCCGTATTTCCTCGAGGCAAGTCGTGAAAAGCATGTATAATAAATCGCCCAGGAAAAACAGGGCCCTTTTGCGGAATACCTCGTATTTATCGTGATCCAGCTGAACGTTATTGTCGGCAATATCGGGAGTGGAAAGGTGGAAATGGATCAGCTGGTCAATGGAGGTGAGCAAGGATTTGTTAGAATATTCGCAAATCTTGTCGTAAATGATCACAGTGGTTAATTTGGAAGCCAAGAAAGATCGTAAGCAAGACCAACTAAAGCTAAAATCGCCAGTTAAAACATCTTTGATTTATTATTTGAAAAAATCTTTATTTAAACATATTTTTATTCGTGTATTTTTTCTGACATATATAACTTACCTAAACTAATCAATCATTAAAATACATTTTGAGCGTCGATGGGTACCAAATCAACTAGTTAGACTATTTTAATTCAAAAAATTATCTAAACCAAAATAGCGTGTTATCGGCAGATTTGTAGTGATTCACATATAAATGAATTAATCGTTAATCTAGGTAATATTATGTAATAGATCTAGGTCCATTAAAAATTTCCCCATATGGGAGCGTTTCTTGGGTAAAGATTTTAAGCATTTTTTGTGGGGATAAGTCTTGCCCTGTTTTATAAGATTATGATCCAACTTAAGAAAATTGCCTTTACAACAGCTGATTCATTTAAATTTCTATTAGTTTATTTTATAATCACATGACATGTCAAATTTGACGAGTTATTGATAAAAAAAATGATTTACTTTTATTAAAAACCATTTTTAATGAATTATAATCCTAACCCATATCTCTCAAACCTTATATCCCTACTCCTTACTTCAGATAATTGTTCAATTTTAAATATTTTTTCCAATTAAAGATAAAATCTCCTTCAGTTGAGCATTCCTTGAGTTCAGCAGCTATTAAGGTTTTATAAGTATTAGCCAATTAAACCGATGAGAGGGAAGTCGTCGGGGTGAAAAAAGTAGAGTATCCCACATAGAGCCGTTGCGTCTTTGGTGTCGTGCAACAAATCGCCCGATCGTAAGCGAGTGAATATATTTGCATTGTTGCGAGTCAATGCTTGTACCAGAAGTTTGAGATCTTCGCTTAAAAGTTCTGGGTCCGAATCAGGCAATTGATGATTAGCCGTTTTGAGAAAACCTTCAACCTTTATATATATATATTTATGTATTATTTAAATTGTAAATAATATGTTACCCCCCCCTCCCCCTTCGCCGTTTGTAACCCCTTAATAATGGGCAGACATTGAGCGTTAGTGCAAATTGGTCAAATTATTGTTTAGCGCTTAAAATCATTTTAAAAAATGTAAACTAACATTGCTTTATTTAAATACTTTTTATAGCTCTTTTTTCATTTCTCTTAAAAATTAATATAAGGTTAGCGTTTTATTGTTCTTTTTTAATATAAATTACAAATCCGGCCAAAATTTAAACGAGGGATGCGTTACGTTTTTTAATTTTTTATAAAAAAAGTATGGCAAGCAAAAGCTCAGTATGTGCGCGATATAAGGGTCAAATTAGGATTTTAACACGTAATCAGATTTATTGAATCTTTTTTTTTAAATTCTCTGGATACAACCCTATAATAATCAAGAGTGACGATATATTTATATAAATTGGTTCATATATTGTAAAAAAAAATAAAATCATGTATAAATAGTATATTAAATGGTCACTACTAACCCTGGAACACAATTTGTTAACGCAAAAGCTGATCTGGGTTTCAATAGACTGGCCGTGGGGAGAGGGACTTTCGAGCTTTTCTCTTTCGTGTAAGCTGTTGTCGTCATCGTCCTCGTCCATTATTACGCTTTAAAATATATGGGGAGAAGAAGAAAAAATATTCATATCTATTTAAAATATAGGAATTAAAGTTTAAAACAAAACAAAAAAAAGTTAAAATCGAGCCACAATTGGCCTTCACTCAAGCCAAACAATTTTGATAATGAAAATCGCGCGTCAAATATAAATAAAACACTATTAGGGTAAGGCACAACATTATTCAATGTTTATTATAATATTGCATTATGTATATACTTATTATTATTTTTTAGAAAACTCACTCAAACAGCTGCAAAAGGGTCAGGGTGTCATGATCCTGTTTATTCGAATAGCTATGGGGTAGCTTGTCGCCATTGCATAGCCCGAATTTCGGACTCCCATCGAAGCATATATTGTTAAGGCGCATCCTCATTAGACGGTCTACAAAATCGGTGTGGGCATCCTTTTTATATTATTTATTTACAAAAGTTTTTATATGGGAACTAACGATTAATTTGATGGAGATAACTGATTTAAATGATGTTAAACTGTGGTAAGATCGATTTCCCGCCAAAAAGTCATATTCATTCTGGCATCCGCCTTTCGGGTCCAGTCCTTGTTCCAATAGGCCTAAAAATTTTGCTCATATATTGCGGATTGGACCCCTATATGACAAATCTCGAGGCTCACATAATATTATATTGGCTAAAATCTTGGGCCATTTAATGACACTATTATAAAGGTTACTCGGTTCTATCGGATCGATATCGATTTTATTGAGACCAGACCAGGAATACAACATTTTTTTAAAAAAAAGTCGATTTTCCAAAAAATTTTATCTTTTATAAACTGACCATATCAAAATGGCTGCCCATTCCGGTTAATCGTTCTTTAGCCATGGATGTTATTAGCGGTTGGTCTTTAGATGCTACTATCCTATTTTTAAATCGACCGCCTTCCTCGACATGATCTTCGTATTCGTTGTCATACTGTTTCCCGTAATTTTCGGCGTGTATCGCGTTCAAAATATCGGCCCACTTGTGCCTAGTCCATGTATTACTTCTATAAAAAAAATCGATGTCAAAAATAGAATGGGGGGGGGGGGCTTATAATCAGCTGCTTAACATTATAGATATGCTCTTCACAGGCTTAAAGAACTAATAACCGTAGAAATTGGATTTAATAGACCGGGGCATTATGACAAGGCTCGATAATCATGGAGAGTTTAAAAAGAAGAATGGATGAAAATTAAAATTTAATATTTTTAAAAAATATCTCGTATTAAATAAAAAACTATTTTATCAAATTCTATGTTTACTCACTCTAACGATTGTGGAGAGTTTGATTTGTTGTAATGGAAAGGCAACATATTATTACGCGCGTAATGCGGATGGTAAAAGGTGTACGATTTCGGGTTTGCGTAAGGATTTCCGTGAGCTGGGCGGCACGTGAGATACACCTCGGAGATGGCCAAGAGGTATAAACGTCCGGAGGTTAGGGCTTGAGCCACAAGAGGTTTGGGGGAGACGGTCTGGTAATTGATCGATTGTCGAGAAAATATTTTTTTTTAATTTAGTTGGAAAGAATAATTGATCATTTGAATGGAATAAATGTGGTCATTTTAAAGCCGATAAATGATTTTATTAAAAAAATTTAATTATATCATTATGAAGTACGAAGAGATTGGAACCCTGAAGAACAGAAAGTTTTATGGGGGTAAGTACCTAGATAAGTAAATGAGGCTCTTTTCTAGATTAGCAATAGCATATTCCTAAATTAACAAGTTTCCAGCCATAAGAATTAATAGAATCTAAAAATACAAGCGTCCCGATCTTGGGCCTAATAAACTATTTTTTTGAAAGTTAAAGAACTCTAACCCCATCATCTCGGATGATTCCAAACACCCATTCGTTGATATCGTGACTTCCTTCAGGAATTATCTCCGAATTCCCAGTATTTTGGCGAGCGATATCCCTTAGCAAGATTCTGAGCAACTCGGTATCCTCGTGAATTAGCCTATTGAGCCTTTCGTCTCTACCTCCGGCCAATTGCTGCACCGCCCTCTTATGGCCAGAGAGGGCTTTGTCCAGTACCCAGGTTAGATTGTATTGCAAGTCGGCCAAGTTCGCCATGTCTTAACGCAAGGAATTTTATCCTTATGATATCTATAATATAAATTAAAAATTATTTTAAAGTTTATTTATGTTCAAATCTATAATATACAATTAATAGGATGAGAATAATTTTTATTCGAAACCGGGAAGGACCAGTTTATTTTTTGAAAAACTAACATAGGTGTTATGTGCGCCGGGGTATGATATATACCAAGATTGGAAGCGAGGATATGATTCCATTTATATTAATATGATGGCGTGTATCATTAGCCTTTTTAAATAAATAGAGGTCAAAGAATTGAACGCAATTATAATTTTTTTTTTTTAAATTTATCAATTTTTTTTTATTGATTCAAAATCAAATTATAAAAATAAAAATATGTTTTGTTATTATAAAAAAAAAATATACAAATTTATTTGGACAGCATATTAGCAAAAAAATTAAATAAAAATATGAAGGTTGTGTCCAAAATAATACAAAAAAAATTATTTAATTTGAAAACTTTTCAAAAACTTTATATTAAAAAAAAACACGAAATTAAACATTTTATTATCAGAAAAGATATTCAAAACTTTTATCATTCGCTTTTTCTTTAAAGTTTAATAACTTTAAAAAGTGTTATTGAAAATTTTTGTAACAGGTTTTGGACGTAAGTTATTTATTTTCTTTAAAAAAAGATAACTATTTTATTTGTTTTCAAAAATAGATATGTGTTTCAAAATAAAATATATAAAATCCGTGGATTGTGATATACAGTGTAAACCTACATATTCTCCAATGATATCCGTTGGTGGATGTGAAATACCTCCTAACTGAGGGTCACCTAAAATAAAGCACAATTTTTTGGAAGTATTTTGAAAAAATCCCGGGCTCTAAATCCTAATTTCCGCTTTACCTACCGAGTTGGAGGTCCTGGGCTAGTGGGATTTGGTTATTCCATGGAATGAGTGTCATTTCATCCGGCCCAATATTGGCATCGAAATTAAGTCCCAAGGGTTCTAAGGTGGATGTAATATTAGCTGAGCGGAGTTCTATCAATAATTGCAATTTAATAGCTTCGTGGCGTAGATGGTGGCCTTTTAAAAAGGAAAATTTAGTGAATGATGACCAAGACTAGAGTTGGTAAGATGAAGGCGTGATGATAACACAGTTCACGAAATTGTGAGAAATTTTCGTTGGATAGAAAAAAAAAACCAAAGGTTATGAACTTGAAATCTCGAGCCATTCACAACCTTTGCTGGATTAAGGGTAAATCCCTGTATTGTTGTCTGGAAGATAAAGGAAAGCAAATGTTTGGAGCCTTTATCTTCCATAGATCTAAATTCGCAGTTGACGGGGATCTGAGATGGTGGTAAATGTCTTGATAATTGATTGACTTTTGATGTACGACTACTGAAAAGCGCAATGCTCGGTAAAGGAGAGAGAAAGCTAGAATGAAAAGGTTCTTAAATCAATCAAGCAAAGCAAACTATGGTATAAAAAGTTAAATATGGTTGATAATATTCCAAAAAAAATGCTATCAAACACATTTTAGACTATTATTTTCCTAATATATAAAATTATATTTTCCCTATTAAATAAAAGAACATTTCCTTCTTTAACAAGGATGAGCTGGTTTTTAAAATAGCAGAAAAATATGCCTAAGCCTCGACATTTAGTTAATAGATGTCCTTTGGGCCACATCTATCAGCAAAATGTTCAGACTTAAGTAATATTTTTTCTAGATAATATATTGAGTTAGAAGGCTTTTAAAAATCGACTCAAAACGAGCCGTTTAACAACACTACTGAGAAGTATTACCTCGGAAAATAGATTGGATGGGTGTTAGATCTTACACTGATGAAAGTATTGAAAAATTAGCTCGATCCCCGAGAATATTGAATATTTACATTATAAATTTATAATTATTCTTCTTAATTAAATTTTTTACCATTTTTTTACCATATTGGTTTATGAATATTTTGTAAATTTGTGTGTATATATATATGCGATAATTCTTTAAAAAATATTTTTGTGCATTAATCTATATTTCCAAATATGTTTTTTTAAAAATTTATACTATTTTTTACAAAGTTCTTCTTAAACACATTTAATATATTATATAATTTAATTTATATTTGAATTTGTGTTTAGAAATTATCGATAGATTATATAGTCACTATAGTCTAATATAAATTTATGAAGCTTTATTAAGATATTCCGTAATGACTCCTAAAAATAATTTTTAAAATTAAATTCTAATTATCCCCTTCCACAGAGAATTCCTGCGCACGCGCATATCTTCGTTAATTAGTCTTATAAAGATTTCAGGATGATCTAAGATGAGGGAAAGTAAGACGTTAGTCTCCTCCTTAATTATTTTTAAGAAATTTTAATATGGTTTGAAACTAGAAAGGAAGACAAACAATAAAAGATACGTTAATTCGGAAATTGGCCGAGGAAGCGGTGTATTTCATCATCATTAGCACCTACCATTAAAAACAATAATACCACGAATATGTGACACAACTCGCGTTTCTCTCGTTAAGGTTCGTAAAATTATATCGACCCTTCGTTCCGGTATAAAGAATTCGTTCGGATAACTTGGTGTCGCTTACTTTGTTCGTCGTTTGACCGCCGGAACGGTTGTGATTAAAGCACAAATTATTATCTTAAAATAAAAAATAGGGGGCTTTTCAACAAAAAATTAATTTTAAAATATTCCGAAAATATTTCTTAGGGTTCCGGAAGGATGAATATTGAATAATGGAATGGGCTATTGATCATCCTCAAAGTTGGATAATAAAGAACTAGTTCTATTGATAAGTGATCGTATTTGTATATCAATGTTACGTTTATTTCTAGGTTTCTCACAATGCTAAATAAAAGCTAAACTAAACAACAGCCAACTAACTCTCATTCCATTAATCAAATTTTTATTTCATGGGCTTTATATCCATCCTCATATCTCCCATGGGCGTTTAAGTAAGTGGATTCGCCTCTTGCGCGCAGAGGTAACCGCGGCCTGCCCAAAAAAAGTGGGGTTTCCTCTTAATTATTTCCATTTTTTTCCCGGTCCGAGGGGCTTTTATGAGAGAACCAAGCTTTTGTCGCATATATATAACTGTTAAGTATATGATTCTAGGGCTAGGCGATAAATATCGCGTATCGCGTATCCGAGCCATTTTTTTTTTGATGAAAATTTTCAATTCCAATAAAACTTATTTGATTTCAAAAAGTTTTTAAAAATAATAATCATGAAGAAGAAAAAAAAATCGATTTATGTTTTTATTTCTTTCTTCTTTTATTTTCAACAAAATTTAATAAGTCAGTCAGACGAATGCTGGCGATAACTCGATTATTAAAACAACATATTTTTTCTTTTCTTTCTTTCTTTCTGCCCTTTCTTTTTCGTATATTTGGTATTCGCAATTGAAATTGGTCAACTATATAAGGTTTAAAAATAAATAAAAATATAACGCTAGCGTTACTAAAGGTCACGGTCGATACTTCTCAATATTAGCCGATATCGGTGGACGACACTCAAAAATAGATATTAACCTTCATTATATTTATGAAAAAATATTGATAAATTATATTGCCTTTCTCCGAACAATAAAATAATCATATTTTTTACTGGTATCATTGCACGGATATCGTGCTAGTAGCATGGCAACTACAAAAAAAAACTTACCATCATCATGTATTATAACTTACATTGCAGCATTCTTTCTTTCCTCCCTTCCTTTCTTAATATTTTTTTTTAAAAAACCAATTTTTGTTGTTGTTGAGTAAATTAAGATATCGATTAAATTGCATATGGATCGTAATGTAATAAATATATCTATCTTTAAAAATAACTTTTTTTGGCTTGTTTCGATAATTTTATAATTATATAATTAATACTATAACATAATATTTTTTATTTATGGGGTAAAAAGAAAGAAAGAGGGTATCATATAAATTTCGAGATTAAAAATAAAGAGAGAGCAAGAGGGATTAAGAGCTAATCGCGCCAGATTAAATAAAAGGCGCCAGATTATTCTTCTTTTTTTTAAAAAAAAAACAAAGCGCTAAAATTAAGCGAAATTTTTATAAAAGTAATAAAAAAAAATAATTTACATCGTAAAATAGATTATTTTTTTTAAAATAAATTAATTTTTAAATTATTTTTTAAAAAATAATTTTCGCAAAGAAAAATTAAATTTATGATCAATTTTTTGGTGGTGGTTGGATGTAAATAACCGCGACGATTGGAGAAAGCAATGCTCCCTTCTCTATCTTAAATAAAATAAAAATGCATTTTTTTTTAAAAAATAATAATAATAAATTGAAAAAATATCGCGGCGAAAAAGATGTGGGAGGGGGAAGGGCTGGGATAACGGCACGTCAATCATAAGTTTATTTAATTGATTGAAGAATTATACAGTAGAAAGTGTTGTTAAATTGCCTCGGGCCCGAGTCTTAGCCTAAATAATATTATGCAAGCTTGGAGATCTTGCTCATAGATGGCAGAAAAGTTTGGGCCTCTATTTGCCTCATTTTGAGGCTTAGTTGATACTATTTAGCAGAGTTGTTAAAGGATCTAGATACTTATAAAAATGTGGTATCTGTAATCTGTATCTAGATAGATTTTTGATTAAATAATCTGTATCTAGATATTATTTTAGACGTTGTATCTGTATCTAGATCCATTTAAAAAGTATCTTTTAACAACTTTGCTATTTAGACTGAAATCCTAATCGAGATGTTTTTCCCAAATTGGACCGTTTAACAATAAAGAACATAAAAAATATCCCCATTTAGATGATACGGTGAAAGAAATATTTTATTTGTATATGGCGAATTCTATGACAAATCAACAAAATGGACACCATTGTGAACCCGATCCCGACAGATTTAAACTAAGAGAAGGAAAAATTTTTTAGTAACCAACTCCTAACAGCAGCTGAGATATGCAACCTCTAAATATCGAAAAAATGGGACATTTTGTGCAAAATGCACTCCATTTATATTTAAATAACTTTAGATACAATTTGAGCTAGAAGCGTCATTTAAAGTTCTGAGTATG